GGGTCCCTTAGGAGAGTCAGAGCCAGTGTAGAACTCTAAAGTGGTTTGAGAATCCTGGAAGCCACATCTGGCCGTGTAGGGTGCAAGACACTAAAGTTAACTTGAAAATTTTATTCTCTTGAAAGGCAGAGCAACAGAGAGAAAGTGGAGCCAGGTACCCGTATGGGGTGTTTGCTTCGCAAGTGGCCACTTGGCGTGTGCCGTAAGGCCAGCCTCAAGGGAAGTCTTGATTAGTGAATTGAGCCATTATGAAGAGATCCTAAACACAAACACTTCTTTTTTGAAAAGTATAAGTTTTCTGTCAATATATACTATCAATTATAGTAAGTTCTTATCCAGAAACATGGTCTTTGTTATAGAAACTATCCAAATGGCAGAATTCATTGCATATGAGATCCATTAAAATGTTCACCTTGATTTTAAATTTCTTAACTGAATTCATGTTTGTAGGCCTTTTGAACGGACAATTACCATGCATAAAGATAGCACTGGGCACGTTGGCTTTATCTTTAAAAATGGGAAAATAACATCCATAGTCAAAGACAGCTCTGCAGCCAGAAACGGTCTTCTGACAGAACATAACATCTGTGAAGTCAATGGCCAGAACGTCATCGGACTGAAGGTAAGGAACGGACCTTGTGCCTCAGTCTTTTTAACTTTAGCAAATGTCTTTCTCTTTGACAGTTTTCACACTTTCAAAATAGAAAAACTAAGTGAACGATGAAAGAGATATGAGCTAGGGTTCTGGCCCAAGCTGACTGCTCCCGGGCTGGTCGTGGGTTCTGTCTGCCCTTCCCTGGAATTATCATTCCTGTGGGAGGGGCTAGACAGAGTGATGGAGTTAACACTTGGTGGAAGATGGGAGCACTGAGGATTTGGATGATTTTCTGAATGGATCCCCAATTCGTTTTCAATCCGGGAATATGGGTAGTGAGTAAAAGCTTTGGTTCACATTCACTTTTTGTTTTGTTTTTCCCCTTAAAATTGCTAAATATGAGGGCACCTCAAACTTTTTTTTATAGAAAAATGGAATTGTTTTTTGGTGCAAAAAGCTTAAATCTGTATAGTTTATCATAGTACACACTTGCACTAGCATTTTGAATTCCCTTAGTAAATTTGTCTTAAAGTCTGAAGATGTTAAGATAGACCTGCATTATTTCAGAAGTTTGGTTTAGATTACATTTAACAGAATATTGTAGCATTGTATGTGAGGGAAACTGAAAATTATTTTCTCCTGATATATTCAACTCAGGGTTTTTTTTTAACATTTAGTTTTATTGGAAAGTCAGATATACAGGAAGAGTAGAGACAGAGACGAAGATCCTCTGTCCGATGAGTCGCTCCCCAAGTGGCTGCAGCAGCTGGAACTGAGCCAATCCGAAGCCAGGAGCCAGTAGCCTTCTCTGGGTCTCCCATGCAGGTGCAGGATCCCAAGGTTTTGGGCCATCCTCCACTGCTTTCCCAGGACACAAGCAAGGAGCTGGATGGGAACTGGTGCTCATATGGGATCGTGCCATGTTCAAGGGGAGGACTCTAGCTGCTATGCTATTGAGCTGGGCCCTCAACTAAGTTTTGTTACCAGCTGCAAAATAGTTTCTGTAGAATAAGGCTTGGTGGGCCCAGTGTTGTAGCCTAATAGCTAACGTCCTTGCCTTGCACATGCCTGGATGCCATAAGGGTGCTGGTTCCCATCCCGGCAGCCCCGCTTCCCATCTAGCTCCATGTTTGTGATCAGGGAAAGCAGTTGAGGATGGCCCAAAGCCTTGGACCCTGCATCCCCATTGGAGACCTGGAGGAAGCTCCTGGCTCCTGGCTTCAGAGTGGCTGAGCTCTGGCTGTTGCAGCCACTTTGGAATTGAATCATCTGACGAAAGATCTTCTTCTATGTGTCTCTTCCTCTCTGTATAGCTGGCTTTCCAATAAAAATAAATCTTGGGCCTGACGCTATAGCATAGTGGTTAAAGTCTTCGCCTTGAATGTGCCAAGATCCTATATGGGCGCCAGTTCTACTCCTGGCAGCCCCTCTTCCCATCCAGTTCCCTGCAGGTGGCCTGGGTAAGCAATGAAAGATGGCCCAAAGCCTTGGGACCCTGCACCCATGTGGGAGACCTGGAAGGAGTTCCTGGCTTCTGGCTTCGGATTGGCTCAGCTCCAGCTGTTGCAGTCACTTTGGGAGTGATTGATCGGATGGAGGATCTTCCTATCTTTCCTTCACTCTATATCTGCCTTTCCAATAAAAATAAATAAATCTTAATAAATAAATCTTTAAAAAAAACAAAGACTAAGGTTTGGTAAGGAAAACTACAAAAATATCTGAAATCAGAGGTCAGCATTTTAGATATTTAACACAACATAACAGAAGGTATGCTGCATATTTTTTACCAAGAACAGGTTTTTTATATATTTATTTTATGAAAGCCTGGTAAAGTTGATTTCCATTCTGTTTTTATCAGGACTCTCAGATTGCAGACATACTGTCAACATCTGGGACTGTGGTTACCATCACAATCATGCCTGCTTTCATCTTTGAACATATTATTAAACGGTAAGTACACAATTAGTGCACGTGGTTATGTAATTTATGTAAACACTCTATTGTTACTTTATTGTTACCAAGTTTCAGCATGTAGTTGAAGAGGGTACCAAGCAGAGCAGGGCATGCTGTTGGCTTTAGCGGCTTTAGCGTGACTGCCGGCGCACTTCGTCCTGGCTGAGGAAGGAGAATTCTCAGCTGGGGGATGTTGAACAGTTCTAATGCTTCCGTATGTCGGGGCAGGGAAGGGCTAAGCTGCAAAGCTAGAACAGGCCTGGCAAGTGACCTTCTCCCGAGCTTTTCAAACTCTAGTGTTCATCATGGGGTCTTTGCTAAGCTAAGCCAACTGGGAAAAATCCTTTCAGAATCCTAATAAGAATGTGAAAATGAAATATAACCTTTATTTTTTAGCTTTCCTGGAACGCTGTTCTAGGGTTCTCTTTTCTGAAACCAGTGGTAACCAAACCTTCCTTTCTGATACCTTCCCTAGGTTAGCACATCCGTGGCACCTTCTTTAATCACCAGCGTTAGATTGAGGACATAATCTCACGCCTGACCTAGTAACCTTCTAGTCAGGGATATAGAGGGCCTTCCCACTGTTAACTGGATCAGAGATTCCTGGCTCTGCGCTTGTTTCAGTGACCCTCCCTGTCTCCCTGTCTTACCTGATGTCCACAAGTTCTGAATGAACGTGGATTAACGTGACATTTTTTGAAAAGAAAATCTTGGTGAATAATCAAAGTGATTCTCTTGTAGGATGGCACCAAGCATCATGAAAAGCCTGATGGATCACACCATCCCCGAGGTTTAACCGCTGCAGCACAGCGGCCACACTGCTGAGCAGCTTGGTTTTCCTTTCCCAAGAATCTCTGTGTGATGCCCGTGAAGCTTGCCCGCAGCCAGGGAGCATCTGCTGCATGAGGGCCTTCCCGTCTTCCACCGTGGCTGGGGTCCACTGGTTCATCTGATCTGTTCTTCAGCTTTCACGATAGTTGTAGCCTTATCCTGGTTTTACAGGCTGTGAAACTTTCATAAGATTTGACGGACTTTCCTAGAATAGTTTCTACTGGAAACCCGATGCTTTTATAAGCCATTTTGATTAGGATGGCTGATGCCAGCTTAGCTGTGTGTGAGAACCAGTTACCTTTCTTCCAGGTAATGAGTAGTGCTCTTCATTTTAGTTCTTGGTATATTTGCAATTTTAATATGTACATTTAGAATGATTGCCTTTGTAGATGGCCCTCCCACCCGTGTACCCTGTATGTATGTAAACACCATTAGGTAGTTGCTGGTTTCATTCCATGTAAGCATTATTCAGTGTATGTAGGTTTTAAGAGATGATGATTGTCATTACATTTTAACTACCTTCACCTATATGCTTCAACTGCCGCCTTAACTATGTAAGCTCTAGAATGAAAGCCAAAATATAATCATTGCTGCCTTCCTAAAACTCAAAATGTAGTTCTGTATTAAACTGAGATGTGCACTAGCCCAGAGGCTGATGGTACTTCTTGAGCTGTAGCACAGCTTAGTTGTGTTTGACGTTTTCTAGACATCACATCATGGAAACATGTTTCCTCTCCAAAATCGCCAGTACTGCTTTCTGAGAAACAAAGCGCTATATATTTAATGTAAAGTTTCTACTTTGAACAGGATAAACTTTTGATTCCTCTTTTCATTTGTAGGTTAAGCAAAATAATAATTTTGCCATTTGAATGTCAATATTATGTAACGTAGCTACTTTGAGGATAATCTTGAAATGCTTTCCAGGTAGTTTGTTCCATTTCCTGATTTCTCCCTCCAAACAGAATGACAATGACACGCTTTATCCTGACTTGTTTTCTGTTTTGGTTTATGCCTATCCTAAATAAATACTGTGTAAATGAAATTTTAGTCTGTTGCATCATTTGGATGTTGTCAATTGCTTCAGTTTTGCGTATGGCCTTGAAGGACACGCCCCTGGGAAGCAGTCATCTTCCAGAGAATCCGCCAGCCAGGGACCCTGAGAGCAGCCCCCAGAGATGAGCTGGGCTCCCAGCCAGGAATGCCAGGGCTGCAGGAACTGGGTCACATGTGAGCAGGTCAGGCCACATGCTTAGGCTCTTCATTTCACTAGTTACACACAGGAAGCCAGGTAGTATTTAAGACACTTAAAACTGAGAAATTCTTACCATGGTCTATTTCAAGATTCTCCCATCTCAAACTGCCTGTAAGACACACCTGTATCTGAATTAATTACTCAGCTAACTGCTGCACTGTGAGTGAACCGCTGGCTATAAAAGCAGCAGTGCTGCAGCTGTGCTGTGAACCTTGTTCTGATGTCTAGAAAAGCAAACCCTAAATGGCGTCTCACAGCTTGATTATCTTGCTCTCTGGATGTGAGTCTTGGGTTTCCAAAGTACTGCAACTGTGTCTGTATCACTGAACCTGGTTTTCATCAATGCTTTTTTAAGAAAATGGAAACTTCTTTCAGTACAGAAAAATATTTTTAATGTAGAAAAGATGAGCAATTAATAGCTTAATGAAATACAAACTGTTCCTATATACAGTAAACTTACTGTAACAAGAACTTCTAATTCTTCCCAGGTTCTTAGAATCTGGGTACAGCATTATAGGAAATAACCACTCCATGAAAACACACTGCTAAAAACCTTGTGGGCAGCAACTGGGGTAGATTAGGATGACAAAATGGTGATTCAGAAGTAGCAGAGGATACAGCACATTTGCTGGCTAAAGGGTAAACTGCACCGCTATCTGATGCTTCCCCAGCCCGACTTGGTGTATCTGAGCTACTTTCTGCCCTGCAGTCTTGTCTTCTAACCATTATTGCTGCCTCACAAATGCAATGTTTTCTCCTAAACACTGCCATGTTGGACCTGCCTTAGAGGATGGCAACGGATGGCTTTCAGACAAGTCATTATGATTTAGAAAATTTAAAACCCACCAATTTTACTTGTGGTAAAACTTCTAATTTCTACCATTGTACATTCACCATTTAAAAGTTTGGTTTAAAAATACTTTTAAATAGAGTTCAACTTGATATTCAAGAGAGGAAAAGGCACTTAATACTGCAATTTCCAGAACATAATTTGTCTGTCTTCCCCTCCTGTGATGACACTGCTGCACTGTTCGTTCATCCAGATACATGTCACAGCACCTGAGAGAGAGAGGACATTTTGGTTAGCAAGTCAATTGGGAGACGCACAAAGACAACCTTGACTGTATGTTCCCTTTTGTTTCCTCTATTACAGGTCCTTTTATAAGTTATAAATAACTGCTTGGAAATAAATCACTTAAGTGTACATATAAAGCTAACAAGAATTACAAAACTGAATGCACTAAAAGAGGAGCTAAAAGTGCCAATTTTACTTCGTTTTCCAGCTGATAGGAGAAAGGTATAGATAACATAGTTTCTAAGGTGCTAACACAATAACGTTAAGAAACAGCAAAGGAATACAATGAAGGTGGATGCTTCACATTGGGAGGGAAGCAAAGCTGGAAGAATTACAAACTGTCCTCGCAGTGGATGAGGAAGGAGGCAAGCAAATGTCACAGCACCGTCTCCAGGTGATCCCACGCAGGTGAGCCTATCACAGTTGAAGTGTCACACACACACCTGCTGGCATTCATCAGAGCACACCCAGGAAAAGGTGCTCTAGGAACAGGAGAGGGGTCAGTGGAGGGACGAAGCCCTGGTTCTCATTCCAATTTATCACTTTGGGTTTTTTTTAATGCACTGTAAATATAGTGTATACATATATAGTATATGATATATATGTGTTACATATCCTAATTTGTTTTACTGTATATGATGGCAGGTCACCTGGTCAACCATGATGTTAGAAATGTTTACTGCGATACATGTGAGGTGCTTTCTCCCTGACCAGAGTTTTTCTGGACAGAAAAGACAGATTTGGGTTCAAGTTGCTAGGAACATAGACTTTGGACAGCTGTGAAACTGCCTACCTGTGTGGCCCTGTATTCTCTCACTGATTTTTGCTCCAAGGAGGTCCCAAACAAGCAGCTCACCAGACTGACTTCCAGATAAGACGGAATTTCCATCCCAGATAAAGCACCTGCAAGAATGATTTGGAAATCATTTCATCCTAACAAAGGAAGAGCCATGCTGTGCTGTGAGAGAAGCCCAAGTGCAATGATCATGAACCTGTCTAAGCATCTTTTGGTGCCATACCTCTGGGGTTCATCTGACGTGATGGAGGAGATGAGCATCCCTGTCTGCACGTCAATCACATTTAGACAGCCGTCTGCTCCTGCGCTGAGGATGTGGCGGCTATCTGCAACACAGGGCGAGACAGGCAGCTTCATGGCACGCTGCCAGTTATTCTGAGATGGCACATGCAAGTCCAGTGGCCACACTCCACTTTCTGTGAGCTCCTTGGATTTAAGCAGGGACTGTGCTGTCACTGAGACACAATTCTAAGACACTGAGATGATGCTTAAGGATGAGTTCATTTACCTCTTAGTTAACTTCTTGAATGAGTTGAACAATCAAACAATATCCATCTTGCTGTTCTAAGTAGGTCCATGCACGGACTACCAGATTCTGAAGAACCTTTCTATTGTATCTTGGCATAATGCAGTGTCAGCTATAGCCAAAATCCTTTTATCAGCAAATAATGTTTATTTCAAAATATGAACTCAAAATTTCAATTTATCTACTATCTTCATCACAAAGGATAATAGCAGGCCGGTGTTGTAACACGGCGATTAAACTCACTGCCTGCACTGCCAGTGTCCTGTACAGGTGCTGATCTGAGTCTTGGCTGCTCTGCTACCGACAGCTCCCTACGTGCCTGGGAAACCAGAAGATGGTCCAAACACTTGGTCCCTGTGAACTGCTCTCTCACTTCTTTTCTTTTTCCCTCCATCTTTGCCTTTGAAATAAATAATTTTTTTTTAAAAAGGGTTGTGTATCGCTTCTCGGCCTTTTGGCTAAGATCAAGGGATAAAAAGGGATATGCCTACCTGGGCTAAAAGCCGCATCACACACGGTCCCCGAATGGCATGGAATCTGGTGCAATATGGTGGCCGTACTGAGATCCCAAATAGTCACTGTGCCGTCTTTCGTGCCTGAAACCAGCAGTGTGTTTGCAGTGTTTAAGCTGATTGTATCTACCTAAGGAAGAAAAGAGAGAGAATCGTTCCATGTAGGTTTGCAGTGACCAGCTGTGTTCCCCTGGGCTGACTGAAATATGCAATTGGAGTAGTGTGGAATAAATTACCATGCAGCATGCTGATGTAGCTAGTGCTGACATATTTCAACATTCTGTTGATGAACATTTCTTTCACCATAAAGTAACATTTTCCATAACTTTGTGGTTACAAACAGGAATGAAAATGCAAGGGCAAACACAATATTTCAAACCAATCTTAAAAAGTGGATTGTCTCAGAAAGATAACTGATGAACAGATTGGAGTTTGTATCCAAACTGCCCACAGCACAGCGGGACCTCACGGACCAGGGAATTCCATAAGGTCAAACTCACACACAACCTCCGTTAATTTTAAACTAGAACTCACATTATGGGAATGGAGCCCTGTGTACCACACAGCCTGGTGGTGTGACCCAGTGAGCAGAATAAATGAGAGCTAAGTGCTGCCTTGGCCAGCATGGCATGTGTTTTTAGCCATCTCTGTCACTGTCCTCAACTATAGGAATGGTGGCTTCCTGAGGGAAGATCCCTTGCACTTTCTGCGTCCATTATGTTGCCCTGAAGAGTTCGAGGATACCCAAAAGTTCAGTGCCATGCTAAGAAACTGATAGTTGGGAAATTATTTGGATCACATAATTTTCAAGAAATGTGCAAAGAGGCAAACTAGGGAAATAAAAGGTAAGTAGACTTGGAAACCTAAAGAGCCACACCAAAGAAAAGAACTGAAGTTTGAACTACATTCTCCAGTAAGCAAAACAATATAAAGATAATACCAAAAACCACCTCCTCCCTCCCACCAAAGTTTTGCTGGTACTTACGCCAACATCGTGTTCCAGCTCAGCCAGCAAGTCAAACTGGTGCTTTTTGGTGCCTGGCATCTCTGCAGGAACACCAGACCACACCTAGAATAGAAAGCACTGTTACCTGTTTCAGATGAAATCATTTTTTATGCATTCAGAAAAAACTGTCTTGACCAGCTTTCACTGGACAGATGTGCCAGTGGAGCTAATCTGCCAGTGCTGCCGCGCCTCCGGCCCAACCCCTGCTTCCATCCCCAGCTTGCGAAGAGTCACGGTGTCCGTGTCCACTTCCACTCCTTGTACCTGCTGCACCTGCTGCTCTGATGACATGACTTAACTATCGTACGAACTGAAGAAATGAGTGTGGGAGCCTTGTGGTGCCTTGTGCTTTGAGAATACTCAAAGGGAAGTCACGGAAAAAAATGTACTAACATTAACCATCCACAAGTAATTTATCTCAGAGAATGAAGGGAAAAAAATTGAAGAACTCCAAAAGGAATTCTATTTCTTTTCCATTCTTGCTTTCTTTTTAAAAGTGTTTGTTGGAAACAGGATGATGAATACTAACGAGCTTTATATATATATATATATATATAAACATATATATATATATTCACAGTGCAGAAATTGTGATCTTATACTTAAATGCACCCATTTTGGTAAAACATACGTAATATTTTCTTTTTAAAAAAGAGGTAATAGTATTCAACATCTTTATATGCCATACCCTTTGTGCAACAGTGAAGTGACAACACATTAACAGGCAGTTGTACAGCTGATAATGTTTGTACATTCAAACATCTTAAGTTAAAAATGATAAAGAAACCTTTACTGTAGAGTCCCACGATGCAGAATATAGTCTGTTGTCCTGCCAGCAGATCTTACTAACAGCATCATCATGCCCCATTAATGTGTCTTGGCATCTTCCAAATGCTATGGAATAAAAATAGCTAAAAGATAATGAGAAGCATTAGAACAGTATTCCAGCTTGATGACACGAGACACTTAAATGCACATTCAAGGAATATAATATGGTTATGGTTTAATTCTGCACTTACTAAAGCCAACAAGAATCACAAATGGCTTGGTTGTATTTAATTATGGCAAATGTTTTCCATTTTAAAAAAGGACTCCAGTTGGAGAAGCTACCAGATTCCAATAAACATCTAAGCACCTCAACAACACCTTCACCTTTATTCCCTTCAGAATATTTGCTTTCTTCAAACAATGACACAGGATCTGGCCCAGGGAAGACCCTGTTCCTCTGTCTTACACCCACCCAGGCAGCGCCTCTGCACGTGGCCAGACAAAGGAACATGCACCGGTACGTACATGTTATTATCCCAAGAAGAACTTATGACAGTGGCATCTCCTGGTAAAAGCAAGCAAGACGACAAAGCCTGAAATGCAAACGATCCAACATGTATAATTAACAATAACCACTAAGTCCCTACCAGGGCAAAGCTATCTTTTACGTCCAAGCCCCTCAAATCAAAGATCAAACGCTTGTTGCGATAGCCCTCTTCGTGTTTGCACAGATTTTCTCAAATGGCTAATTCCTGATGCAGGGAGAAACGGCCAGGTGTGCCACCACACCTGGCCACTCCTGATGACGCCCAGGCTGCGGTGGCTTCCCTGTGCTGGGCCAGAGGCACCTGCCTTGGTGGCCAGGGAAGTACCCTCAACAACCACAACTGGATTACAGAAGTAAGAGGATAAGGCAAACTTCCAAAATGCTTTAGGAAACGTCAAAAGTGTTCAAGGAAACCTAGTTTTAAAAATAAGCTAAATGTGTTCATTTAGACAATTTTTCTTTTCAACATTAGGTGTCTTCCTACAAACTCAAACAAGTAAAGATATCGAAGTGGCCCATTAACACAGGATTTGACAGTTAAAAGAAAAAGGAAATACTTTCTACTGGGTAGTTCAAGTGCATTTAAGACCAAAAATGAAACCATAATAGTTTAAATTCTTTTTCAATAAAAAAAATTTAAACTGAACTTATTAGTGCTCTAATTAAGGCATTCTGTTGCTACTTCAGAATAAATTTAATTATTTTGAGACATAATAATAAAAGGATTATTATGTCTCACAAAACTGCATGAATTTCTCTACAACACTAATTAAATGAACTCACCATATTTGAAAATGATATACTTCTTTGTAACATTTTAGATTCTTTAGAAAACATTTTCAGGGTAGAATCTGATTAAATAAGAAAACAGACATTAGAAAGATTTCCTAGATATTACAGACATATAAGAACAGCTGCTCTTCTTGTTCCTGTAATCTAACAGGCAGGAAAATTCTAGAGAGAGGAACTGGATAATCTGAGGCCTTATCTGATAGCAAGACCGTATCATCCACAACTCAGTGACAAGGAAATTCATGTAAAACCCAGCAGAGACAGGGCCTACTGTAGCACACGAAAGAACTGAGGCAGAGATAGTTCACATCAGGTAAAACTTAACGAAGAGGAAAATAACTATTTTAACTTTAAAGAAGACCTTGACAACATTAAGATTTTCTTTTTTTTTTTTTTTAACATAATGAATGAACAGAAGCTTTGAAGTTCTTCATAGCAGTCCCTCAACAGACAACACTCATGGGGCAGGTGGGTGACGTTAGGCCAGCTTGTGATGCCTGCATTCCATACCGGAGTGCCAGTGCAGTGCTGACAGCTCAGCTGCGGGTGCAACTCCTTGCCAACATGACGGGGGCAACGGAGAATGTCTTAAGAACTTGGGTCTCTGCTACCCACGTGGGAGACTCAGCCGGAGTTCCTGGCTCCTGGCTCGGGACTGACTCAATCCCAGCTTTTGCAGACATTTGGAAGTTGTCAGGCTGTCTGCTTCAAATAAATAAACCTTCAAACAACAGCATCAAAAATTACAGTAAGATTTATTAATACAGATTCTAGGCTCCGTGAAGTATGCACACTTAAACAAGTGTATGTCTGAGGAAGAAATGTCACTTTGGGGTGACCAATGGGTCAGATACACATAGGACAAACTGGGAAAATCTAAGAAGAAACAAAAAAACTTAATTTTTTAGCATTCTTGCTTGGTTAAATCCACACAGAGATAAAATAATGCTTTGAATGCCTGTGACATTGGACACCTCATAAAACTTGGGGCTCACCAGGTCATGGTGGCACAAGGTGTACAGGAATCCCACAGACAATGCCAGACAAATTCAAGTACAAACACAGGCTCTGCTGTTGTTGCCTGGTGCTACAAGGCTGGCCGATGTGCTGGCAGAGCCTGGCTTCCTTCCACCAGAATATCCATTCGAGTTACCCTGATGAACTCCAGTGGCTCCTAGTGGGGAACTCCCAGTTGGTCCACCTGTAAGACTTATTGCCTCTGCTTTGTGAAAATTCTGTTCTAAAAATCTGAGATAGTATTTGGCAGCCAAAAAAATGAAATGCCTCCGGTATCAAACAATGACATTGGGTGGTAATTCTACTCTCAAACCGGTAACTCTGATGCAGCTCAAGTGTGCAGTTAGATAAGACCTTTAGGTTAATGCCTCCAGAACGTAGCCAGCGGGGATAAAAACTTAGAATGGGCAGCCTAACTAAATGCAGTGATTAACTTTGTGAAAACTGGCTACTTTATCATTGAAGCTGAAGAGCTAAGCCACCACCCTTCTCACCCTACACCTTTCAGAGCGTCAGGACAGGGGCTCTGAACCTAACAGGGACAAAACAAACATTAATTAGCCTTATATCATATTATAGAGTTCTAGGAAAAGCAATAGTGTATACAGCAAGGGCTTATTTTTGTTTAAGATCAAGATATCCAATTTTTTAAGACTTATTTATTTGAAAAAGCAGAGTTCCAGAGAGGGAGGAGGTGACAGAAAGTGAATGATAACTTGCATTTGCTGATTCATCATTGGAAAAGCCATGACAGCCAGGATGGACCTGGCTAAAGCCAGGAGCCTAGAATTCTATCAGGATCTGCCACATGGGTTGCAAGGGGTCATCATCCACTGCCTTCCCAGACACATAAACAGCGAGGCAAATTAGAAGTGGAGTAGCTGGGGCTCAACTGGCACTCCAACATGGGATGAGGGTGTTGTAACTGTCAGTTTAACCTGTTATGTCACAATTCCTGCCCCAAGACAGCCAAATTCCAATGTATCAACTAAAATATAGTTACAAGTCCTTATCAGCTCGGCACTGCACTGCAGGGATTATTACAGTTTTGCTAAAACATAACCATATTAATAATATCTGAATTCAATTCTGAGATGACTACAATGAAAAAATTGCCCCTAAAATGTATATTAAATGGTATTAAATGTATATAAATAAACTGCTCTGAATTTACCTTGCCTGGAAGCAGTGCTTGCAAGTACAACCCTTGATCTGAGTAACGAAGCCTGGATTTTGGGGCTAGCACCATGGCATAATATCTTAAGACTGCCTGCAGCACAGGCACCCAGCTTGGGTGCCAGTTCAAGTCCTGGCAGCTCCATTTCCAACTCAGTACCTGCTAATGGACTGGGAAAGCAGTGGAGGATGGTCTGAGTGCTTAGGCTCCAGCATCCACACGTGAGAGCTGGAGGAAGTGCCAGGATGCAAGCTACCGTGGTTACTAGGGCAATGAACCAGTAGATGAAAATATCTCTGTCTCTCCTCTGTTATTCTCTCTCAAAAATCTTTAAGAAAAAAAAAAAGCAGTCTAGATCTTTTGTTAGCAGTTAAACCACTTTCTAGGCAGGAAACAGGAAACCATACCTTGTGATGTTGTGAAGACTGAAGCCCCATTGAGAGTGACTGCTATCCCAGTGACTGCCCTGTTAAACAAAGATTCATAAATTACCATCAACCTTAGAACACCTGCCCCATTCCCAAGTTTTCTTAATGATTTTCTTCACAATTTGTCTGCTGGGTCTGTACCTGCACACCCCACCAAATGACCAACTGGTCACCTCCAATTCTGCTAAGTCCCTCGTGGACAGAGCAGCTCTGAGTCCTTTGTGGACAGAGCAGCTCTGAGTCCCTTGTGGACAGAGCAGATCCTGTTCTTGGTCTGCTGAGCCATCACAGTCAGGACTTAGCTTTTCCTGACAATTGTAAAATGTTCTTCTTTGAGCCCGTCTTCTTTAGCCATCATCAAACTGCCTGGAACTCTTCTTTATGTGGCTTTACTTGCCTCACTGCTCGCTCTAACTCATCTCACATCTCACACCTGCTCAGTGATGAAACAGCCATCTGGCTCTAGAATGCCCTCCTAAAGCAGATAACATGGCTCATTCAACATTACGTGTGTAAAGACTAAAGACCTATTCATGCCTTCATTTTACTGTCTCTTTCCATTTGCCATTGAGAAAAACTAAAGAAAGGCACTAATAAGTGACTAGTGCAATGGCTCTCTTGGCTGATCCTCTACTTGCAAGTGCCAGCATTCCATGTGGACACTGTTTGTGACCAAGCTATTCTGCTTTTCATCCAGCTCCCTGCTTGTGGGCTGGGAAAGCAATAAAGATGGTTCAAACCTTGGGACCCTGAACCCACTCTGGAGACATGGAAGAGGCTCCTGGCTCCTGGCTTCAGATCAGATCAATTCAGTTCTGGTCATTGCAATCATTTGGGAAGTAAAACAGCTGATGGAAGATACTTCTCTCTGTCTCTCCTCTCTGTAAATCTTTCCAAAAAAATCAAACAAATTTTCAATTAAGAAAGAAATAAAGAAACAAAGAAAGCAAGCAAAAAAGATAGGAAGAAAGAAAGGAAGGCAGGAAGGAAAAAAGGAAAGAAAGGCAGCCAGGCCCCCCAAAATGAGGTGAGCCTAGTTGTTTCTGCGTAGGAGGCTGTACCCCGAGTTGGAGACAGCCATGTCCTAATTCAGGCACAACCAGAGGCACACGTACTCTCAAAACTGCTAACAGGAGTCACAGCAGGGAGCAGGCAGCAGTCTGATTTCCAGGCCTGCACTTTCTTCCTCTTCCAGATTGCACTGGGCATGATGCACGCTGCTCAGGCCTTTCCATAAGAATACACAAACATCCTCAGCGGCAGCGGGCAGGGGCATTCCCATCCCCTGAGGACTGGCAGCAAGCCTCATTCCTTTAAAGAACTGTTTTAGAAATTCACTTGTACTTTACAACGTTCTCCACACCTACCTGCGTGTTCCTATGTATTCCATGGTTGCCACCATTTTTCAAAGCTATGCATTTCAAAGCATGTGTTACATCACAGAAAGAAAACTCATCACCTGAGAAGGATGTGTGAGGACTCTCCCAAGGCTTCACACCATCAGGGTCTGAGAGGTGTAAAACCACCTGTCCCCAGCAGATTCCCAGTGGCATTCCAGAGCGAGTTTCCACACATCATTCCGTGATCAACTTGCCTTTGTTACACAGTCTCAGAGGCAGAACTCTGCAGATGTTGTGGGTGGTTAAAAAGCAATGAAGTCAACCCAGAAACCTATCTCCTCATAGACTCAGTTTAGAAGTATTCAATCCCATGCAAGACCACCTGGTTGCTGGGAAGCACAGAGACACTTACTCCTTGTGCAGTTTGTGCTGCTCCTGCAACTGTAGTTTGGCAATGTTACTCCAGGCCAGTGTCTTGCTTTCTTCGGTCAAGTCTTCAAAAGATTCTTCACCTGGAGACACTATATTAGATCAGTGAGCCAACTAAATTGCTAACACAACCATGTCAGATAACAGTCTACTAAAGAAACCCAAACAAACAAAACAGACAAGGAAAAAAAAAAAGCCCCACTAAAATCTGACTGCTTTGAATTTTGCTTGTTGGTCAGCTCCATGTCAGTTAAGGGAAAAAATAGTTCAGTGGACCAGGCATGGTAACCTAGTGGCTAAAGTTCTTGCCTTGCATGCGCCAGCATCCCATATGGGCACTGGTTCACATCCCAGCATCCCCATTTCCTTCCAGCTCCCTGCTTGTGGCCTGGGAAAGCAGTCAAGGATGGCCCAAAGCCTTGGGACCCTACAGCGTGTGGGAGACCCAGAAGAGGCTCCTGGCTCCTGGCTTCGGATCAGCTCAGCTCTGGCCATTATGGCCACTTGGGAAGTGAACCAACAGGTGGAAGATCTTTCTCTGTCTCTCCTTCTCTCTACAAATCTGACTTTCCAATAAAAAATAAATCTATAAATCTTAAAAAGGAAATCACCCCTTGTTAGATTTTAAAAAAAAATAGTGCACAGAAAGCATTAAAACTATCTTTGTATACTGCAGTCTTTGTATGTTTTTATCAATGTTTGCAGTTTTCATGTGGCTGCTAACCTCCAAATGTCAGGAAATGTGAGACGACCTAACCATTTCCTGGTCAGAAATGTTTGTAAAACCCAGTAGTTTTGATTTTGTGGTGGAGAAGATAGAGACGAAATCAATTACTCCAAGTGTTTCTGCACAGGATAAGCTAGCTAATTCTTTTGCTGTGGCTTTAAGGACAAATCACCCTTTGTGAACAATCACATGAGAGTGGTTAGGCCTGGTGACTAAGCAGAGCAGGGGCTGAAACTACATCACAAGATGATCCCGTGAATGCAGCACATTTCTCTCAAAGCAGCACTCCTGGCGGCCCTGGGCCACGGAGCTTCAGGCAGCCACTCACGCACGCTTGACAGGGTGCTCAGCTTCGTTTGCCTAACAAGCTAGATGTGCTTGGCACCAGCACCGGCAGCAGAACTAGAGGCAAGAGGGAATTAAGTAACTTTGTTCCCAAGGTTCCAGAGTCCCACACTTGCATGAGGCTGTGGGTGGAAGCTGTTTTATGTGAAATGTAAAACGTGGCTCACTGCATGGAGCTGTGTGTTATCTGCCTCCCTTCTGAGTGCCAGATGCAAGAACTGGGCCAAACCCATTGTAGTACTTTATATATGTTTGTGAGAGCACATACACTTGTTCTCCAAATGCTTGTCAAGAGTTGCATACAAAAACACAGTGATTTGAATTAACCTAGACTTGAATGCAGAGGTAGAGGAAGTCAGTGGTGGAAGAGAAAGGTGGGCAGTGATGGTTAATGCAATCACAGCCGGGACTTGACGCAAGAAAACATGGACATCACTCACACACACACACCCCACAGGAAAGCAAGGTAACACACACATACACTCACACACCACAGGAAAGCAAGGGAACACACACACACCCCACAGGAAAGCAAGGGAACACACACATACACACACACACCACAGGAAAGCAAGTGAACACACACACACTCCACAGGAAAGCAAGGGAATACACACACACTCTCTTTCAAGTTTTATCCATTTTAAGGTACCAGAAAATATAAGCAATTTGACTTCCTTTAAATTGATTAAGCAAAAACGCCTGTGTTTGTTTAGGGGAGAAGAGCAGTGAAGCAGTAAAATCCAAGCACGCCTTAGCAGCACAACAGCACTCGCGCTTCCTTGTTTTCAGAAACCTCATCATGGCAACAGAGAAGCATGCAGTGCCCGCAAGCATTCTCCCTGCCCGACTCACCCAGGGAATCTGCTGCAGCAGCACTGTAACTGGAGGTCTGAGACAAACTTTTAAACTTCGGCGTGATCCTTCGAGGGTGGGGTGTCACAAACAGTTGCTTTGGTGTCTGTCCAAATTCCAAGATTTGGGTGAGCATGGCCACTTTCTCATCAGGATCCTCAATGCTTTGGGATGAAATAAATAGCATGTGGTGAGTCACCACGAAGCACACGTTCAAATAACGCCAATCAACAAGAGAGGTGAGCTCTAACGCTAACAGTGACGAGGGGCCAGCAGCTACTGCTGATGTCTTACATACTCAAATCTCTGAGGCTCACTCCGTAGCTAACATGACAAGAAAAGCAAGACACAACATATTTTAAAAGTGCCGTATCTTAACGTTCTGACATAACTACAACGATGATTCAGATAGAGATGTATTTCATAATTCAAGTTCAAAATGTGTTGTAAATGTGAAAGTACCTGTTTAGGTTGACACCTCCTTCATAGGTCAGAGGATGAAACACTGAAAGAGACATAGTAAGGCACTGTTGAAAGATGTGCTATTTAGTTAAACGCTCCGCTGAGAATTGAAATAACTCAACCAAAAACTTACAACTGGGTTCAAAGTAATGAATTTTCCCTTTGCAAAGCAGACCAATATACAACTTGAATGATTTTCAACTTGAATTATGATATTTTGATGAACAGAAATCTAACTGGCAGGTTCTATAGCCCAGTCCTGAGTGCAGTTCTCAGCCAGCATTAATAAGCCACAGCACTACTCTGACTGTTCTAGCAGTGAGAAGTCAGGTCTGACTTCCCAGCTCGAGCTCCTGGACACCGACACTGTGCCTCAGCGCTGAGCTGAAGATGAGTTATGCTCCTGCTGTTCTTCTGTTCACCTAGAAACTCTGGAGCCCTTTACAAGAATTCACATCACTATCCATCATATTTAGACTGAGTTTTAACTGAAAGGATTGAATAACATGGAGGATGCAGTTAGCCTTCCATAACCAAGTGACTGCCCTGTGGAACCAACTGAAGGGGAAAAAAACACAAACCATTGCTCTTCAAGCAAGAGACCCAAGTCACTACCTGGCCTTACAGCGCACTGGGCATTATAAGGAACTGAATGCTGATTTGAAGTATATGGGAGGAGTAGTGAGGGGTGATAAGCAAACACTGCGCCATTTCCATAAGGGACTTGAGCCTAAGTGGACTTTTCCATCTCTGTGTGTCCTGGAACCAATTCCCAGGGAGTCCAAGTAATGGTACCTAGGCTAAAATGAGAAGACATCAGAAAAAGAGCTCTTAGGACCTTGGAAATGTTGGTGTTGTTCAGACAACGCTCCTTCTTCCTCAGTTACTGACGTGACATACCATTATGGGCTTCAACAGCATCACTCCCCTTCTGCTTGTAGCCAAATATGAGATCAATCCACTCGTGGAGGTGCTCAGACACGTAACTGCTCTCCAGTGCATCTTTGCTCTTCTGCAGAAAGTCCTCAGGACCTAGCAGGTTAGACTCGATTAAAACATCACATAGTCTCCATTGCATTTGCTCCCATTTGTTAACCCACATACACATAAAAATTCTAGTATAGACTGGAGGCGTAGATACTTCTCAATGAGGCTGTGTGTGTGTGTGTGTGTGTGTGTGAAATACAAGCTTTTTAGAGAAAAAAAAGGTAAGAATAATTCTCACATTCAGGTATCCAAAATACACATTTCAGTTTTGCAACAGGATTCTCATTTACACAGAGAATTATATTATTAACACATAAGCAATAAATTAACAAAATGGAAACAGCACTTCCTGTACAATACCTTCACAGTGGTACTCACTTGTGGCCCAAGGGGGAAGTTTCACATCATCAACCAACTGTCCTCCTTGCCTCTTGCCCAAATCTAACTTCAAGCTATTGACTAAAAAGCTGACATCATCACCATAGAATTCTGGAATCAACTGAAAGTTGAAGAGGGGGAAAATAGCAACAAATGTTTAAAGCAGAAGCTGTAAGGCAAGGATATCATAAGCCTCATTCATTCACTCATTTCTTACCTCTTTAAAATCTGTTGCACCATCCAAACAGTTTTTCCAAGTTTCTGCAATACTAGGTTAAAAAAAAAAAAACAGTCGTATGTAAGTCTGAGTTATGAAACATTTGTCAGCAATGTATCCTATGCACTCGTCTGCTTTTCTGTCCTCTGGCCACATTCCCTCAGTGTTCATATTCATTCATCGTTCTCTCAACATCCAGTTGAGGATGCCCCTTTAGCAGAAAACAAAAATCAAGCCTGAGGAATTCACGTAATTTCTCTGAAATAACAGAGTGAATATGGAATGTGTGTCTCCACCATCAGCCACCACATCCCCACAGTCTAGTCTGATAGACAAAAGGAGGCATGAACCTAAATACTAGAAAATCTGTTATTATCAGTTCATTTCATAAGAAATTGTAAACAGATGCATGTAGAGCCCATAAAAAGATTAGAAAGACAGACCCCAAATGAACAATTATTAGTAGAATGGTGGAATCCCAAATGAACATTCTTTTTTTTATGCTTCTGACTTTTTTGGTAAGAAAATGTCTAATATTAAATAAAATTACTTGAAATAAATTATAGCATATGTAAGAATATAGTAAAACAGTTTTTAAAAAAATGTCAGTTTCAAATAATGTCAAACTCTATGGAAAATACGACATGTAATGTTTAGGCTATGAAAAGCAGAGCAAAAATTTTACTTAAAATACACTTTCACATTTATACACATGTATAAGACATGTCTAGAAAAATCCTGAAGAATTTTTTTGTTTATATCTAATTTTTTGAGGCATATTGTTTACACAGAATCAGACAGGGTTAAAAATAGCGAGGCATTCTATCAAACCTGTTGAACATTCTATCCGCATTATCAAATCTTCCATTCTGTAGGCACAGCATATACTCTGGGGCTAGAGGCAAAAGAAATCATAGTTAAAAGGGATCACAGCAACATGTCAGAATCCATGTGGAGTTAAGTGTTAAGTAAGGTAACAATCAAGAGCTTACCAATCCTAACAAGATAAAAGAGCACGTAACTTGGGGAGGAGTAATGACTTCCATACATGAACTTTGGCCCAGGCATTTCTTGGTATCGTGTCTACAACAAAGGGTGGAGAAAACCATACTGACTGTTGGTGATAAAATAAGACATGCCTCAAGCAATAACCCAAAAGAAATCACGGCACAGATACCCTACAGTTTTTAATTGCTCTCTTTGATTAAAAAAAAAGAAGAAGAAGAAGAAAAGAGGGAAGGAAAATCCGTGGCTAAACGACAATACCATGGAAAGCATTTTGGGTTCCTGGTTTAGTAACCTACTTTGGCAAACCTGTTGGGACCGGATTCAACAGAACTGATTTTACGCATCCCTGCAGCTTACCACTGAGCACTTTGGTGAACATAATTCTATGAACAGGTGAAACACATCTCCTTTTCCCAAACTATTGACAAAAGAAGCAACTGTGTGTGAGCAATTGAAGTCACAGTGGAGAAAACAGTAGGAAAAACTACTGCCAGGCTGCTTGGTGAGTTCTCTCCCCTAAGCTTCAGGGCAGCACGTTCTGATCCCTTTCCACCCACACAAACCGTGGCTCTGTTGGAATAAGAAAACCACGGAGCTGTAAGACACACACCAGCAGCCTCTCCAGCCGCTCCTTGTTGAGCGCCCCCACTGGCTTGCTCAGGTCTCGGAAGGTTCCTGGATTCGACAAGTCTGTAAGTTAAAAAATATATATACATAATTTCAGTTTCTGGTCACGTGCATTATCTGCCTGAGCTGATTCAAACATATACACGTACTGATATAGTTTTTAAAACTAAGATAAATCCAGAAAAATTATATACAAAGAAATGGTTAAAAATTTTGGAATTTCTTGCTGAGCATGCAATATCTCTAATAAAACAATGAGCTGAATATTTTAAAAAGACATTCAGATTTTTAAAAATGTTTCAAGTAAAATAACAAAAAGAACAACTTTCAGGAAGTCATTATTCTTCTACTAAGATGTATTTTCTAAGATTACAATATAGTGAATGCTATTATTCTGTGATATTAGCATAATTTGAGAACTGGGATCTGAATATTGCCAGAAACATAAATTCTGATATTCCTGAAAAGTCTGTTATCTGTTGAGGAATGAGTATCCAACTTGGTAAACTGTCACAAGAACTAATCATTCACCATAAGATTTTAAAATTTTGCACAATTTAATTAAGGAATGATCACATTTCTGTTAAAAATCATTTGAGAGAAAAAATATACTACAAAACAAAAATGGTTACTTTTCAATATTATAATTATGAATGGTTTTATGTCCTCCTTGGAATAAATAAAAAATAAATTATAATGACATTATCTATTTGTGTAACCATATTTTAAGTACAAATTTAAAATAAAACAGCAAAATTTTCAAAGTGAGAAACGAATATTTTAAAACATAATATTTACAGAAAACAAGGGATTGAAATTCTGCACATATTTCACCATGCATTTCTTCATGGCATTTGGAAATATACATAAATAAAGCACTTACACAATTTGCATAGCACCATCTAGCATGCTGGAGTGGAAACTGGCAATTATCATCACCAGAATTTACACAAATTTTAATACAGTTCCTATGGTTTATTTTCCTTTTGAAAACAGTGAAGATGACTACACTCAATTCTGCTGTCAGAATCCACGCTCGGACTTTACCTAAGTCTGAACTGCAGTAATCATTGATTATCCAGGGAAACACAGGATACTGGGAGAGGTCGTTGCAGCTCCGGTCGGCCAGGTTGTTGAGGTGAAGGAGGTACTGGTAGTTGGAGAGGTGTCCGCGCTGCCACTGCAGCATGTAGCTCTCGGCAGTGTGCTCAGCTACGTGGTGCTCTGCAGAAAGAGGGGCCTCGCTCAACCTGTTGAACTACAGCATTAGTCTCTGAGCTATTTTTCTAGCCCCAAATATGACAGAACCTAAGCAGATAGAAAAGTATGGACCAGATGTATAAATACCATACGGTGCATGGTAAAACTACTGCACCAGATTACAAAGAGCCGTGTAGATTCGCTGATGTTCGATGTATGAAAGGACTATGAGAAGGCTGGGCATTTGGCAAGGGGTTAAGATGTTCGCATCCCACATCAGAGTGCCTGAACATAGCCTCTTGGTAACTGCAGCCGCTTGACGGCAGCGACGATGGCTTCCTTCGGCTCTGTGGGACCTGGATTGCGACTCTGCCCTTAGTGTCTGCCAGGCTCCAGCCCACAGCCGTCTCGGGCATTGGAGGAATAACTCAGCACAAAGGAACGCTCTTCTCTCATTCTGACTCTCTCTTCTATCTGTCTCAAAAAAGTTCATAGGAAATGCATATTAGTAAAGAAATATTAAAGATAAAATTATAAATGGCCATGTGTGAAAGTTTATTTCCCAAATTTTTATGAAATCAAAACAAAGTCATCTATGTTTCCTTAGATATGGACAAAGTGCACTGCTGCTCATGTCAGTGGAAGACTGGGAAGACAGGACAGTGCTAGTGACAAAAGCAAACAAACTAAAAAAACTTATGCAGCAGAAAAATCAAATTTGAGAGGCCAAACTCAAAGATACCTCTAAGAAAAACGGCCCCGGAGCACACCATAATGAGACCTTTCCTCACTGACAGCATGGAGCACTGTCCTGCAAATGCAGTTCCCATTTGTTTTAGGAAAGTCTGCTTTCAACCTTTTATTGGGAGCACCAAGCAACTGAATTCGTGTGCTGATTCAATATTTACCATTATTTACTTTTCTAAGTTTCTTCTCTAATCATTTACCAGGAAAGGGCTTCAAAAATCAACACCTCTCTCTGCCACCCAACCTTTTTTTTTTTTAACTGTTGCAGGAGCAGTATAAACAAGCTTAGGCATAAAATCAAAGAACAAGGAGCACATTTGCTGCAGGTCACATCAAGGCACTTGAGATTTCAGCACTCGACACCGAAGCTGAATCTTATGTTGCAATCTTGACAGAGTTAGAAAACAAACAAACAGTCCGGGGGCATGGAACAAACATAAACACAGACCGAATTTATACTGACTGGATAACTGGATTTGCTTTATGTGTAAAGCAAAAATGTATCAACCATAAAACTACTGTAAATGAAACATAGCCCTAATTAGAGCGGGAGGAAAGGAGGGCAGAAGAATACTATTACATTTTTGGAATTTTGTCTATGAATCTGTCAAAAAAACCCTAAAAATTTAAATAATAGAAACTTTCTAAAAAAAAATTTTTTTTTAAATTCCATACTGAAAGTCAACCATTCTTACTTGAAGAAAAAAGCCTGGTTTCACTCTACGTGAGAATAGCAAATCCATTTCAGATGGTATGAATAAAATGCCAGCATTCATTTTAAACTTTCAATTCTTGTCATCAAACAATAATGTAAACAGAAATGATTTAGATGCTTGATCAGAAAAATACAGATGTTCTTTCTTAGGAAATTCTTCTTTTCCAGGAAAGACTGGAACTATCATCCATTAAAAGCAAGCTGCCACTGAAGTTCCTTTTGCCTTGTTTTCCAGCCTCATGACTAAGCCCATGCTGAGTGCTAACAATCTGGCTGGATAACTCAACGTCTCACACTAAGAAATGGAGCCTGTTTTCATAAACTAGTAGAAAGCATGATTGGATATAAAATATCTCAGGAAACTCCCTACAATCCATTCAAGTTGAAGGTCATTAAAACATACAGAAACGTAAACACATTTTTCAAGAATTCCAAAGTGCACAATTAGAATGAAATACTACCAAAGTAAATTCATATCTCCTTTAGTTTTTAAAATTTTATTTTGGCAACTACAATTACGGATGAGAAAGAATAAGCGGAATCACAGAGAGGTGATGCGAACTAAGGCCTTTTTCTTTTTTCCAACTCCTGTTCCTCGGGAAGTGAACAGCATTTGTGTTAACAGGTATAAAGAACAATGTGCAACAAACCTAGGTATGTGGCAATATAAAAATAGAGATTGTCTCTGTCTTGAGGTTCATAGAACTTCAGGTAGATATCAGAGCACAGGTCATCTTCAGTGCAAAATACTTCCAAACCCTTTAAGACCAGAAAGAAAAGAATAAAATAAGTATTGCCATTCTTTCCAGGCAACCCTAACGTACATGCGTTAAAGCCCCTCAATCACTATGTTTTACCTCTAGGCCCTGTCTGTGTGTTTCCCATCTATATGTTTGATTCAGTGAGTTCTATCAGTATCAGCTGCGTTACAACTTCTTGACAACAGGTTACAGATTTCCGTAAACTCTGTAAAACCTCTTTCATGTTAAATGTTGTCCCTGATGACAGCTTTCATGGATTTATTATTTTGAGATTTAAAATTAGCTGGTTCTGTGGCTTTTCATTTAAGGGGATGTATAGTAACTGTGTAATGGAGACTGACATATCCAGATGTGAGGATACAATGCAGTATGCATCTCTACTTCCAGACAAAGATGGACTCCCAATGAAACTGTTTACTATATCTTGATAATAGGATGCTGGACTCTGCCACTGTCCATGCCTGCAATGATGGACATGACTGTGTGAAGAACTATACTGTACATGGGAACTCCGTAATGGAGGAGGGAATTGGGGCTGGTGTAAGGGAAATCCCAGGGCCTATGGAACTATATCATAAAACGATAATAATAAAAAGTAGTAAAAAAAAAAATTAGCTGATTCATGTCTTCACACCTCTTCTTCTGATACAGCTTTCCTACATAAATGACAATTATGTAAATGTTGAATAATTCATTCCATTTATAAATAACAGAATTTATGCTGATGTCAAAACAAAACACTTTGGACTCACACCTAACATAGGGACTGGTTCTAAGTGTGTAAGATAAACATCAAGTGAGGGCCCAAGATCACAGCAGGAATGGCAGGAAAGCAGTCCATGTAATTTAAACAGTCATTTTTTTTTTAAAGATTTACTTTTTTCAAGGCTATATTTACTTTGATTGGAAAGTCAGATCTACAGAGACAGAAAGATTTTCTGTCCATTGATTCACTCCCCAACTCTTGCCACAATGGCAAGAGTTGCACTGATTTGAAGCCAGGAACCTCCTCAGGGTCTCCCACGTGGGTGCAGGGTCCCAAGCCTTTAGGCCATCTTCAACTGCTTTCCCAGGCCACAAGCAGGGCACTGGATGGGAAGTGGAGCAGCCAAGACACAATCTAGCACCCATATGGGATCCCAGCAGATAAAAAGCAAAGAATTAAGCCACTAGGCTACTTGCTGGGCCCAAGATTTACTTATCTTTCACTGGAAAGACAGATTTAAAAAGGGAAGGAGAGAAAGAAAGATCTTCATCCACTGGTGTATTCCCCAGAGAGCTACACGGCCAGAGATGAGGCAATATGAAACCAGGAGCCAAGAGCCAGGAGCTTTTTTTGGATCTCCCACATGTGTATAGGGTCTCAAGGCTTTGGGCCATCCTCTACTGCTTTCCCAGGCCACAAGCAGGGAGCTGGATGGGAAGTGGAGCATCAGCGGCACGGACTGGAGCCTATATGGGATGCTGGCATTTGCAGGCAAATGATGAGCCAATTGAGTTATCGTGCTGACCCCTAAATAGTTACTTTATCTCTCTGTCCCAATGGACCCACAGGCAGAACTCAACTAACATAATCTGTGAATATATTACAGTTACACTGCCAATTAATGTAGTAGCTGCCACTCAATACCTGGTTCCCATGAGCGGATGGGGCAAGAAGCACTGGATTGGTTCTGCCTTTAATTACCGAAGCCCAGGAATGCCGACGTTCCAGCTATGAGAATCTCAACAGACTCATTGCACTCGGGGCCAAAACCCTTTTCAAAACAGAATGTCTCAAGGACAGGAGTTACTCTCCGTCAATTCCAAGTGTATCCAAAAGAAAAAGGAGCAAGAACCAGAGTCCATTTGCTTGCAATACAACATACTTGCCCTTTTCAGGAGCATCCTAGGAGTTTCCAAGTTCATAAAGTGCAGTTACAACGATCAGGCATAACCACCAACATGCAGACCCCAACCAGCAACTCACCAAGGGCATGAGGCCGTGCCTCCTTTTGTAAATGCGGCGCACGTCTTGAAGTGTTATCTGGACCACAGGTTTCTGTAAAAGGAGAAAAGCCATCTTAAATGTCAACACACTGACATAATCACAACTTGGTTTCTCATCACAGGGAGGAATCTGGTGTGGTGTAAGTGAACACCTGGAAAGGAAGTGAGGGAACAGGGCCCAACTGGCTCTGACATCCTGCTTTGGGATTTTTTTCACTAGCTTTGTTCCATTAGACAAGCCTTCCTATTTAAATGGTAATGCAGTCATCTTACTCTCGGGTTATGTAAAGATTGTTGAGTGCTAAAGAACAAAATCGGCAGTACAGATGAATTCTCATGAATGTTGGTGTCTACTCATAGATTAGTAAGTTGGTTAGCACTTTTTTTAGAATCCTTTTTCCACTTTAAAAAGTGTAGCTCTCAGTTATTATAAAACGTTGCTGCTCATACACACTAATGTGAACTGAAAATTTACGTTTACTTCCTTTTTTAGCTTGACCTTCTAGTAAATCTTTAGCTTCACTGATTTTGGCTGCGATACAAGGAGATCCTCCTTTGTCAGGGTGATTTAAGAGCATGACTCATTGATGTGTATCTCTTATTTTTCAGTTACTGGCAGCTGGGCTCACACCTGATATTAATACTGCTTCTTGTTTTGTCATTTTGGGTTCAAATCCACCTCTGCAATAGCCACCACTGAAGGCGGATATTGGTAGACTTTGAAAAACGTGTTTTACATGAGGCTCCATCTAGTTGATAGCTCGCAACAGATAACGACCTGCAGATCCTTCAGCAGCAACAGTCAGTCCAACTGCTACCACTGTAATGGCCATGGCTCGGCTCCCCTGCCTTCCCCTGCTTCACCAGGAGCGTGTACATCCCAGTCAACAGGCCACGGCCACCAACCAGATGTCCTTACCCAAAAGCTAGGACCCGCCAGCAGCAAGCAGGTGCACTTCTAGAATCCTCTTATGCCCTTTTATATTCCCTCTGAATAAAAAAGACTCGCAATAAAACCGTTAAATATAATCTTGACAATGGAATGTTGAACTTTTTATTATTGTCTATACCTACAATATCAGGATACACTTAACATAACGAGACTTGTAACAGTTTTTGAAGGATTATACTATCATAATAATATATGGGAAACAGTGGCGGGGTGGGGAAAGGCGGGGGTGGGGAGGGAAAATCCCAGAGCCTATGGAACTGTATTCTTAACAACTTTTTAAAGTATAAGAAAACATTTTCTGTAGTTAAGACCTCCAAATTAAGACTTGGCCTAACTCTATCATTTATCTCCTACATAATTTTAAGCAAGTAAAAATGTATTTATTTAAAAAATGTATGTGCTATAAAACAGGAATCTCTATTCTTTTTATTTCTTACTGAAGAATCAATTTTTTCTTATTTCTCTAGAGCTTTGAAAGGAGAAGGATAGACAAGACACTGGATTGGCTAAAAGGCACTGCTTCCACATTCTTTCTCAACAGGGTAAAGGATAAGCAGCCTGTGGAAGTCACACTGTGTATAATGGAAAATGTTGTGAGGACCCTGAGCCAGGCAAGCACACCTGCCCAGAGACCTGGGAAGGGCTAACTGCTTGTACTATGGCATATACTCACCAATTCTCCTAAAAGTTTTTTTTTTTTTTTTGGAACCAGGCATTAGTTACAGTAGTAGCCAAGGCAATTTATTACAAAACCAAATATGCCATACCAGCAAAGTGCAGCAGATCCACTGAAAAACTCGATGTGTGTACTGCACCACCTAGTGGGCAGAATTGTTACAGCACAACTTTCATTCAAAGGAGCAAGACATTTTAGAGCCAGCCTGGAGAATTTCCAGGGTGTAGCTTTCTGACAAAAAAAAAAAAGCACTCAAGGGCTTGAAGCTGCCCTGCCAAATGGCCTAGCTGCACTACCAGCGTTTGGATTTCTGTTCTTTCAAGGAACCACTTTAAAAAAGCGCCAGATCTAGATAAGTCTCAAGCCTTTACAAGAAATCTGAGTTTCTCTTTATTTTCTAGCCTAGTAAGTCCAAACTCATTATGAGAACTCCAAGCCTTTATTGGCAGCTCTGTGGCTGCCAGAATACTGTAGTCCAGTGCAAATACAGACGGCAGGTCCCCCTGCTTCCTCGGTAGCAGAGCCAGCAACATTTGTGCACTTATAAGCAAGTACTCAAGAAATATCTGCTTTATTTATTCAGAAATATCTGCTTATTTATTCAGTGTAGATCCTTTTCAGATGTATCTCTATCAGCCCTTTATGCAACGTCGGAGGGGTGGGATTTTCATAATACTGTGAGAAGGGTTCCTTGATTTTTTACCGACACAGGTAGGTAGGAGCCAGAACTTGGGCGACCGTGGCCCGGGACTATACGGAGGCCTCATAAAGCACAGATGCTGAAACGAAGACAAGGGATTTCAATCCTTGTCCAAACACAAGAACGCTGTGGCTGCGAAGGCCAGCTCCTGGGCAAGCTGCTCACGGATGGCAGTGGCTCTGTCCCTGGCGCCACCTTCTACGTACCGGGTACCCATTGAGAGGCTGAAAATACAGGTGTGTGTCTGTGATGCACACGTGGCCAGGATTGGTCACCAGGGGCGTCACCATTTCTGCTCTGCACTCCATGTGCAACTTTTCCGAAACATTCTGGAATCTGCAAATACATTTTTTTCAGAAAAATATCAAAAATGCATCCACTTGCTAGATTTATCTACAGTATAATTCTGTAGAACATTTGTCAAAATATTACACTCAATACAGGAAAAATGGCAGTAAGAATAGGTTGCTTATATCTAGGTTTTTTGATACAGTTATTAAACCCAGTAAGAAACAGATGTGATTATATATCAGAGAAGTAAAATAAACAAGTAAATAATACTAATAACCCTTCAGTTGAACTCTCATTCCTCCCCCAAATAAACTGATTTTGAAATCATTCTCACATTAACATAATATTCCATTTTGTGTCATGAAAACCTATTTTTATAGTCATAGGAGGAAGACACTTGACACAAGTGGCATTCATTTTACACTGTGCCCTTTAATTCTATGACCACATAATTACTATTATTTAAATGTCAGTTCCAAAGCACATTCTTCTGTGGATTGACTGCAGTAAAAGCAGTCAGATACATTGGTTTCCCTCTGTAGCACCATCCTTGCACCCTGGGATGGATCCCACTTCATCAGGCTAATGATCTCTCCACTGTCCACTCCACAAATTTTTTTAAAAAGATGTATTGTTTTCATTGGAAAGGCAGATATACAGAGAGGAGGAGAGACAGAGAGGAAGATCTTCATCCAATGATTCACTCCCCAAGTGAGTGCAATGGCCAGTGCTGCGCTGATCCAAACCAGGAGCCAGGAACTTCTTTCCGGGTCTCCCATGCGGGTGCAGGGTCTCAAGGCTTTGGGCCATCCTCAATGGCTTTCTCAGGCCACAAGCAGGGAACTGGATGCTGGATGGGAAGTGGAGCTGCAGGGATTAGAACCGGTGCCTATATGGGATCCCGGTGCTTGCAAGGTGAGGACTTTAACCGCTAGACCATGGCGCCAGGCCCAACTCCACAAATTATTTTATCAAAAACATTTCATTCTTTATTTGATTTGCTGAGAGAGAGAATAAGCAAATCACCAACATTAATTAATATCTGGGATTAAAACTAAATCTCCTTATAAGCAACAGGACCAAAGAAGGTACAGACTTGCCCTGGTAGTTAGATTTGAAAGCTGAGATTCTCAAAGCTCTCTCCCAAACCAGTGGAACCAAGGGATACATGGAACAGTCATGAAAAAAATGGGGGAGTCTGGTACATCTTTTGGTATAACATTGATTGACCTTTGGTCCTGAATCCAGACACAAAACCCCTAATCCATTGGAGCATCTTCTGTTCCACTGAGGCAGCAGGATAGGGACGGCTCCCTGGACAGTCACGATCAGAAGCTAGAAAGGGTCACTGCCACCCTAGCCACAGCGAAGAGGACCACAGGAGGAGACTGAGTCAATAACTGATCATGCCTGTGCGATGGAATCACCATAAGAACTCCTGACCCTGGCTGGTGGATCACAGTGCACCCAACTCCGCAGCAAGAGGCTCCTGCGTTTGGCCCCTCCAGGCCTCACCTCTGTGTACCTCTCCGTCTGGCTGTCACATGGATCAGTGAGCACTTCCTGCATCAATCACTGCCAATCAGAAACAAAAGCTACAGTCCCCAAAGCCATGACCCCAAAATGCCAGCGGCCCAAAGTCAGGATCTCTCAAGTTGAAATTTCTGAAAATAGTGATTCCCCAAAAACTAAAAGGTGAAAATGATGAAATCCACAAAACCGCCAATTCCCACTGGGAAAACCACCACACCGCAATTGTTTTTGCTATTTAGAAGGAGAAGAAAGCCAAATCCTAGGGAAAGGATTCATGCATTTCCTGTTTCTAAGTTAAATGGATATTTAGAAACCTGGTGAAGGATTTTCTGGATTGTTTCTGTGAGGATGTTTCCAGACGAGATACGGAAATGAATGTGAATGTACCTTCCAAACAGAACCATGCAGGGCTGCACGATGTGGCTAACACTGTTGAAAACCAGCTGGCTCAGGCCCGGCGCAATAGTGTAGTGGCTAAAGTCCTCACCTTGCACACCCAGGATCTCATGGGTGCTGGTTCTAATCCTGGGAGCCCCGCTTCCCATCCAGCTCCCTGCTTGTGACCTGGGAAAGCGGCCGAGGACAACCCAAAGCTTTGGGGCCCTGCACCTGCATGGGAGACCCGCAGGAGGCTCCTGGCTCCTGGCTTCAGATTGGCTCAGCTCCAGCTGTTGCAGCCACTTGGAGAGTAAGTCAGTGGACAGCCGCCCACCTGCCCTGCAGAACCCTGAAGCCGAGTGCCTGCTGGGCTCCCCAGCATGTCGGTGGACTTCGTTTCTGACTGGCTGGGGGACAGTGCTGAAATCAATCAGGAGACGATCCAGAGGCTCCTGGAGGAGAATGATCAGTTCATCCACTGTGTCGTGGAGTACCGGAACAAGGACCGAGCCCATGAGTGCGTCCAGTACCAGCATGTGTTACGTAGAAATCTCCTTTATCTGGCTACCATTGCAGTGGACCTTCCAGCACAGTTATCTTGATGATGGTAAATTCTGCTTTACAATAGTGGAAGAGACTCACTCTATGTATTTCTCTGTGGTCTCTCCCACCTCTGGTGATCATGTCTAATATTCACTTTCCTGGTTTTATTTAATTTGCTTTTTGTCTAACTTCTGCATGAATCTTAAATACTCAATGCAGTATTCTTATTTATGGCTTAAAAAACCAATAGCTTTTTAAAGAATTTAGGGGCGTTCATATGTCTGCAATGATAAAATCAATTTTAAATCTCTCGAGTGATCACTATAATATAAAGTGATACATCTAAAATAATTCAGAGTAGATAAGACAGATTAGTGGAAAATACTGCAAAAACAACAAAAAAAAGAAAGAAAAGAAAAATACTGCAAGGCAGGAAAGGAAGCAGAGAGAAACAGAGAGATGCTAAAAACAAAGACTGTGAGATTAAAAACAGCTAAAAATTGTTAAAATAATGTCAAAATATCAAAAAGTATGATCTCAATTTAATAAAATAAAACAAACATTTCAATTAGCAGAAATTTGTCAGAACACACAAAAGGCAATGTTCAATTATACATCTAAAGTGTGTGTGTGTGTGTTTAATGAAGAAATACATTGGTTAAAAGTAACAGGATAGAAACATACACCATGCAATCACCACACATGAGAAAACAGCTGTGACAGGGGGTCCTGGATTGGGCCTGCCTGGGGTCATCTTGACCCCGTGTGCCTGGCAGGTGAGCAGGTGATGCCAGGTGGCCCTGCACAGGGCCCTCTTGCCTCCACCTACTCAGCAATGGCAGAGGCGGCCTTGGATCAGGTGGCATGCCTGTAGGGTATGGCACAAGCGAGGCCGGGTGAGGACCTGAGGGTTCATGTCCAGGTGAGTAATGACTGCTGAGGGACCTCCATGAACATAGCCACTGTACTTGCAGGTAGGTGAGGGTGCTGAGACGGAGCAGTTTAGAGGAGGTAATGGGGAGACCTTTAAGGGTCAGACTGAAGAACCAGCACACATGCGAGACCTGAGCTGAGGTGGTTAGCACTGACTATAACTGAATACCACTCGCTAGCATACAACTGAATATAGGGCTGGGAGTCTGCCTGGCAGGACTTGAACACAATACTCACCAATTAGAGTTGGAGCAGGGAGTGGGTAATATTGGGCTGGGCTGTAACACTGGCTGGTACACAAGAGAATCAGGTCTGGAGGGCAGAATGTCATGGGGGGAAGTGAGCTCACTGCTGTGCAACTGCAATCTCTGCTTGCACACACAATATCTGTGGCTGGGAACAGGCCTGGTTAGGGAGTTAGGGGGACACCCTGGCTGAGTTGGGGTTCCCACAGGTGAGTAAGAAAGCCGGAATGGGAGCAGTGGGCTGGGCTGGATATGGCTGCAGTCTTCCTTGGCATGGATGTGGACTGGGTCTGAGGAGCGGCAGACTGGGCTTGACTCCAGCACCCACTGTTACTCATGAAATCAGGGTGGGTGTAGAACTGGCTGGGCTATGTCTTGGCTCCCATTGAATCACATGAGATCTGTGTCTGGGAGTGGACCAGATGTGGCTGGATTGTAACACCCAACAGTAAAAACTGGAAAGGGTGTTGGCTGGTTGAACAAGGGTGCCATTCTTACTAGGACAAGAGGTGGACAAAGTCAACCTTGGCCAAGGACTCACCGATTTGCATGAGATCTGCCACTGCGAAAAGTGACAGAGGAGCTTGGAAAACTCCTTTGTCAGGATGCAGTCCCTGCAGGTGAGCGCAAGAACCAAGGCAAGGAGTAGCCAAGATCATGCCAGGTTATAGTACCTGCCAGCAAATATGTGGGTCAGGTATAGGGGTGGGCCAGGCTGGGCTAGTTCATAATACCAGATAGGGTGCAGGACAAGTCAGGTCAGGTCAGACCACAACACCAGCCAGTCCACATTAGGGCCAGGATGGAGGGCTTGCTGGACTGGACTGGGCTGAAGCACCCAACAGCAGGAGCTGGAACTGGCTGAAGCACCTGCTGGTAGATGTCAAGGTGAGGCAAGCTATGCCAGTGTGAACACAATGGGTGCTGGTTCCATGAGCTCCGGGGGTAATGGGACCAGCAGGGCCCAGGTCACCTGGCCCATGTCCTTGGACCTGCCTGCATGGTGGTTGCTAGGTCCGTGAGCCCAGAGGCAGGGGGTGTGGTAGGGCCCAGGCTGCCTGGCAACAGGTCCTTGGGCCTGCCTGTGCGGTGGGTGCTAGGTCCATGAACCCTGGGGACGGAGGTGGGTGGGAGGTGGTTCACTGGGGCCTGGATTGCCTTGCCTGGGTCCTTGGCAATTTTAACATCATTATCTTAGTAATTTATACAACAAGTGTCCAATCAAAGGTACCCAAATCACATTTATACACACATTATTCAACAACTACAGAGCACACATTCTCCTCAAAAGTCTATGGAATGTTCACCCAGACCATGAAACTAATGCAAATGAATAACAGAAGGCTGAAGCATACAGAATATATTCTCTGGTTAGATAGATAGTACTAAAAATCAGAAATTAGTACAAAAATAAATTTTCTATAAAGTCCCCAAATATATAGAAGTCAAACAACATATTTCAAAATAACCTATGAGTCTAAAAAGAGACAAAGGAAACTACAAGCTATTTTAACATAAATGCAGTGGGGATATAATGTTAAAATGTGTGGGATGCTGTTGGAGCAGTATTTACAGGATAATTATACATTTAAGCACTTCTATTGCAAAAGAAGGCTTAAAATCGGTAATCCAAGTTTTGTCCGTAGGAAGCTTGAAATGAAACAAACCACACCAAAAGTAAAATGAAGAGAGCGAATCATAAAACTGAAAATCAACTTTAAAGTAGAAAAATGGAGAAATATGAAAAGTATAAAAAGTTGATTCTTTGGAAAGCTAATAAAATTGGTGTCACCTGGCAGTATTTGAAAACTTTTCCCCAAATTTTTCAGTGTAGCATTTTAGAGACTGGATAAATTGATACTTCATAGTGAACCACTTTTTAGGCAACTGCCATGCTGAAGCCAGCACTGAAGCATAAACTGCTGCTTAGGAAACAGTTTCTAAGTAGGTCAAAAGCAGGTAATTCTTCTGATTACTATTGCTTTTCCTTTCTAAAATAGAAATTATTCTCCCTTTGACAATCCAGTTACCTAATCTATCCTGCCTACTAAAAAAAAAAAAAAAAAGAAAGAATGTTAATGCTATTTAGCGAAACAGAGAAAGCACCTTACATAAGCTCAAATTCTCATTCCAAACCAGATGGAGTGGAAGTTTTTGTAACACTGTAAAATGTGGGGAAAAGGTCAGGATCACTTTGATTCCCAAATCTCCCAGGCAGTAATAGAATATTACAAACTAATCTCATTTATAAACATAGACTTCTAGCAAAAGCCTGGCATAAAGCAATACAGAAATGAATGAATTTATTCAACCAATACTTTCTACTTCGTCCTAAGTGTGAGTGAGCACAGATCCAAATCCAAACTAAAAATGCAAGTGAGGAAACACTACCGAAATCTCATAGATAATATTTTACACATATAGAAACAGAAGTGCAAAGTTAACGGAATTGATCATAGAGTTCAGGAAGGTTTTTGAAAAAAAAAAATAAATACACAAAAATCTGCTAGATTCACTTTATTAACAAACAGAAAATGAAAAAATTAGTAGCAGGCCACTTTAGAAAACCATCAAAAATGTGAAGTAGGAAATTAACATCAGACAGGAAAGACCTTCATGAAGACATTAAAGAAGACCTGAAGAATAGAGAAGGCTGTAAACCTTCCGACATCATAACCTCAGCATTAATGGAAATTGCTAAACTGATTCTAAATGTATATGGAAGGGCCTAAGACCAGAAATAGTAAGGATGGAAGTTTAAAAGGTAAAAGCATTAGAGTACTGTATACCAGGTATCAATAATTATGGAACTATAGAAATTAATAAGTTGCCATCAAAGAAAAAGAGACAAATGCCAATATCTATACCATATAAGGGAATCTACCTAATACAAGGTAAAAACAAGTAAACTTTTTTTCCTAAAAAGACAAGAAAATCAGTGAAATAAACAGTTAAGGATGTCCTCTCTGCATCCCTGCTGGTGAGCACAGGGACACAGTTATCATTTACAGTAAATTTAGAGGCAAGAGAATGCATGCTACAATAGAAACTGTATGCAATGCAAATGATCAGAGCATGGGATTCAAAAGGGACCAGAAATTTAAACAGTCAACAAGAGCTTGCACACAAGAGACTGTGTGTGTGATGGGGTGTTTACACTTCATCCTCAAGAAGAGGGGAGAACTGGATGCAGGGAGATGAACCAACAGCTGGCATAGCGTTCCGGGTGGGAGGTGACGGTGCTGAGCGGAAAAATAACATGGTACAAGACAGAAGCTGAAAGACTAGAGACCTTAGAGACATCAGTCAAGGGGTCTGAATGACGGATGGCGCAATGAGAAGAGCTGAGGCAGCTCAGGAGATCTCTCCTGCACTAAGGCTGGCACCTTCTCCAAGACAAGCAAGACGGGAATGAGAAAAATAGGAGAGCATCACTTAGGACACAAGGAAGCACACAGATGAGGATGTCCTCCATTTTTGTACTTAGGAAACAAAACCATTAACAACGTACCTGTTCTTATCAAATGACGTCCTGGCCAAACGCGACTGCAAGATAGCTGTAATCTATTAAAACAGAAGTGTTTAAAAAGCGCAGATATAAGCATTTAGGAGTAAACTGTCTATACAAGTGAATATACAGCCAAAGATACAAATCATTAGAGGGACTCTTACCATAGCAGTCTGGTCACCCAGTTTATCAAGGCAGGACGCTCTGTGAAGCTACAATATCACAAAGACAAAGAAACTGAATTTTTCCCCCACAGGTTAAGCATTTCTTTAGAAGTCATGAAAAACAACTATTTTGCCACTCAGAAAGGGTCAAAACTACTTTTGATATATCTACTGTTTCTTGTTCTAATTTTTCAAACTCAACACACTCAAGTAAATCTGCTACACATTTAGAAAAAAAGAACATGGTTTAAACTACTTTTTTTTTCGTTAGAAAATTTGCTCTGAATTCCCTGCCTTAATTGGTGTCTGCTACGTCAGGGGCTTACCTGAAGCAACGTCTCCACAACATCTTCTACTTTTCCTGAATTGGATAATTCAAAGACATATTCCATTTTGCCCTAACAACAAGAGGAAGATATCAGAACAAAGGAAGGGAAGAGGCTTGTGGAACCACATTACTCCAGGAAAATTAGTGGGGCACCTGCTGAATCCTGTACTCTTCTGCCTCGTGTGCCCTCTCCTGGGAAGCCAGCGTTCTAGAGAGCATGTCTACAAAATTTTCTACTAAATTCAATTTTTGCTTCCTTTTTGTTAGGTTCAGTTTGCTGTCCTTCTAATTCCTTAGGTACAGAGTTGGGTTTTTTTTTTTTAAAGAAGTGTTCATGAACTTCCCTTTTGTTGCTGCTTTTGCTGCATCCAACAGGGTTTGGGGGATGTTGTACTTTCCATTTTTTTTTATGAAGTTTACATGATTGATTAGGGTGGGAAGGGTCCAGGATTAGGGGGAAATAGGTGAGGCCACTACTTCCACACCTTCCTGATGTAGCCCATACTTTCCATTTGTTTCACAACACTTTGTAACTGTTCCGTCAATTTGTTTGAACCATTAGCTGCAAGTGCATTTAGTTCTCACATATTTGTGAATTTTTCTTTTTCCCTTATGCTATTATTTATACTTCAGTGAGGTCGGAAATCTAGGATTTTGATTTTGAAATTTCTTGAGGCTTGTTTTGTGCTCTCACATGCTCTCCTTGGAGAATGGTGCACATTTTTCAGAACACAGGTCCCCCTGCTGCAGGAGGGACACAAGGTCCTGTGGATGTCCCGTCGGCCCACTGGGTCTCCAGCAGCCCCGCACTGACTGCAGCCACTTTGCCATCATCAACATCCCCTTGGAGAGTTGAAGGGCCATGAGCACTGCAAACACACCTGGAAACTGGACAGAACCCATGAGAAACTTCATCCCTAACACCTCAGGGAGTCTGGCAATCCGGCGACACCTGCTGGTTTCCTTGCTCTGTGCCTTATATGAACATCTCCTCCCACACCTGGTGCCATTGACTGGCTTTCTGCCTGACAGCTGGCACATCCATTTCAAAAAGTAATTTTGTCTGCTTGTCTTTGAACTACAGCACATGTCTTGTAACTTCACACAGGGCTGGGCGTTTGTGCCATCAGCTCTCCTAGGTCTGGACTTCTCAGACACTTAGGCTCATGAGTCTATCCCTTACAATGATAAAGCATTCTCTCGGCCTTCTCATACACACACACACACACACACACACACACACACACACACACACACACACGCACCTATGCATATGTGTCTATATACCTATCCAGTGGGAATTTTTAAAGTTCCCACTGGGACTTAAGTGTACTGCACTTTTTCAATGAAATTTTTAAAAGATCCCTGGCATGTGTATAACTTTTTAGTTCTATTTCCCTGGAAGAAAGATTAATACATATAAGAGGATGCTTCATAAAGTTTGTGAAAAACAGAATGAAAAATTAATCTCATTTTGGCTTAAAAGAATTGAAATCCATGTAGCTTTCTTCACATTAAGCACTGGAGCCATAAACTTTCTAAAAAACCCTAGTATTTATAACTTTCATGGCCTACAGTTCAGGCCACTCTCAACAGAGGCAGTAGAGGCAGAGCACTCTAGCCAGTGGTTCCCAACTTGGTGGACAGGGTGTCCCACACTGCCCTAGCTGCTTCTGTGTCTGTGTGGAGCTGCTGTTACAACAGCAGGACAGCAGGGGGAGCAGTGTAACAGAGGCCCTCAAGGTTGGACAAAAGTCCTGTCAAAACTTCTGCTAGTTGTTTTTTCACTGTATATAACTAAAGTTAAAACATATGGAAATAAAGCACACATTGACTAAATGGAGGATCTATGCTTACTGGAAAACCAGATAATGTATGGAAGTCTACTCATAATTTCTATTCAATTAAGAATAGAGAATTATTGCTAAATTCTCAGATAAAGGCATTTTTATAACTTAATATTTATAACTTTAATATTCTTAAAAACACATTTTAATAAAGTATTGTCAGATAAAATCACAGTAATTATCAGTAAGTAATCTTAGACACGCTGTGACTTCTATTTTTTTTTCATGACAGTTCCTTATGTTCAGAGATTTCCCTTTTCACCATCCTTAATTCTCCTCCCCTCCACTGTATTTCAATTTCTGTTGCTTTTTTTTTTTTTAGGTTTGAAATCATTTTATCTTATATTTAGGCAAAAAATGTGATATCTGACCTTTTGGGATTGGCTCATTTCCCTTCCCATAATAGTCTCCAGGTCTCCAGTTGGGCCCATTTGGCCACAAAGAAAAGCATTTTTTAATAGCTGAGTAGTATTCCATAGAGTAGATGAACCATAGTTTCTTTATCCAGTCTTCTGATGATGGACATTTTGGTTTTCTCCAAGTTTTTGTGATTATTGATTGTGCTGCTAAACTTCCAGGATTTCAATTTCTAACCTAATCATTTAACTTTTTCCTATCAAGTACATTTTTTCTAACTCACAAAGTTTATTGAATTCTCTTAAGACTATAACATCTATGGTTGTCTTCAATCTTGTTAAAACACATAGGTAATAAGCTTTTAATGTCCATTATTATTATTATAAAAGATGTTAATAGGTTCACAATTACTCAAAATTACAAGATAAAATTGTTGGGAGTGGGGATAATGTGATGGCTCAGTTGGCTAATCCTTAGCCTGTAAGCACAGCACTCCATATGGGCTCTGGTTTGTGTACCAGCTGCTGCACTTGCCATCCAGCTCCCAGCTGATAGCCTGAGACAGCAGCAGAAGATGCCCCAAAGCCTTGCCAACCTGAACCTGTGTGGGAGAACCAGAAGAGGCTCCTGGCTCCTTGTTTTGGATCGGCTCAGCTCTGGCCATTGTGGCCACTTGGGGAGAATGCCAGCAGATGGAAGCCCTTTCTCTTTGTCTCCCTTCTCTCTGGTAATCTCCCTTTTGATATTATAAAGATAAATAAATCTAAGAAAATTGCTGGGAACACATGAAAAACTTACTTACCCTTTCTATTTTATATGGTGCAACAATGTTATGTTCTTTAATGAAGTATACCTGAAACGGATAAACCAATACTTACAAAAATTATTGCCAAAATTTTTAATTGTAAAGAGTAAACTATAAATTAGGATATTACAAACTGAATATTTTTTTTTAATGTTGCATTACTACAGTTCAGATTCAGTTGAGATTCTTTCCTCGCAAGCATCTACAAAGCATAGAGTCCAGCATCTTATTGTCCAGATAAGTTCAGCAGTTTCTTGGGGAGACAGTCTCTGGTCTGAAGGTAGAGCCAACAGAGTATCATCCCAATCAATTAAAAACCCCGACATTACATCAGTAACAATTTGTAACGTAATGGAATTAGTTGACATGGTATTGTATAACCAGCATGTTAAAAGAGAGAGAGAGAGAGAGAGAGAGAGAGAGAGAGAGAGAAAGGGTGCAAGTTCTGAACGATATCCTATGACTTCTACATTGACATTACAATTATTAGTTTATATACAATTGGGTTCTATACACCTTAAAATGGCTATAGATTACTACTCAGTTGTCTCATGTCTATTTTAATTTTAGTAGTTAGCAGTTCATAGCGTTGAAGCACGATTTACAAACTGAATATTTTAAATCATTGTTACATAAACCGTATTTCCTAATTTTGCATTATTAGTAGTATGGTTATAAAGTTTTATGTTAAAATGACAAAGCAAAGTTTAAAGAAAAGCACCAAAGTAATAATGTTTATAAGAACTTTTGGAAAGTGAATATCCAAAACGCTTTAAGAATGTCATCAGTGCTAGCTAGTACACAGGAAGCAAGCGAATCTATGTGCCAATATTCTAAGAAATGAGTAAAACAAAGTCATCATGAGCAGCAGTTCTCACACTGTATATTAATCACCATGTTGAAGCAGCAGCATCCCCCGCCAGAGCTGCCAGTCTGGTCACAGCGGTGTCCTCCTCCCTGCCTTTCCACCTGCTGTACGGGAGGAGCCAGTGGGACAGGCTACTCAAATCTGTCCTGAGATTAGACTCTGCACCCTCTCCCATTTTACACAGACCAGACATCCCATCGCCCTCCCTCTGGTCTCACAGCCTCTTTATGCCATTTTATTTTCATCTGTGTGATAACACTCCACAAGATCAGTCTATAATTCTTCCAGGGTCTACGACAGATTTTTATTCCCACTATGCCATCAAAACTGCTACTCAGATGGTCAGAGCAGAAACTCAAGATCTCATGTCACCAAATCCAAGGGTTAATTCCTACGTCTTTCTTGAACTTGCATAGAGCCATTGATAGCTGAGGCTCTGCTTGAAGCCTTTTCCTAGTCTCCTTGGCTCCAGGTTCTGGCTTCCCTTGTGACAGCCCACACAAAAGAAAATGGCGATAGTAACGCTAGGTCTTCTGAAACACTTCTGGGACATGTCCATTATCTGACCTCTGCCATAACCTTGGGTTCTTGGAAAGTCCCAAAAGAGAAGTGAAAGTGCTTATCTCATTCCAGGATGAGATCTTGCTTTTCTTTTACAGCTCTGGCAAGTAAAATCAGTATGCTGATTGCCCCAAATTGTTTTCTGTAAACAGAATGGGGAGGTCCTGTTTGCCAGTTTCTATTGTGTTGATTGGATAGTTTAAAGTGCTTGATGCTTAAACTAAGTATCTGCTCCTCACCCCTGCAGTTGATTGGATATTTGTATTGTGTGCTGATGTAAGCTTGGTTGAGTGAATGATTTGTACCATGTTCTAGTGCTCTCTTAGTTGATGGATGATCACTTAGTGGATGATGATCTTAGTGGATGATCACTGCCTAAGAATTTTTGAACAAGGCTGCCCTCTTCCACGTGTGGCGGAATGGGACTGTCCACTGGTCAGTGCCAGCTGGTGAATAAAGGCTCCTGAGCTTCTAAGAGTTTACCTCTGGCTCTTTTCTGGGATAGATATGGTCAACTCGCAACACCCACGATTTCACTAACTGCTTCTTCTGCCTGCTCTGTTTAGATCTTGCTCTCTTCCGATCTCAAATGTTAGAGAGCTGTAGAGTCTTAGTCCTCAGATCTCTCAGTGCAGCTCCTTTGAAAACCTCAGCCAACACAGCCTCTGGAAACTTCCAGGTCCCCAATTTGCAGCCTGAAGTCTCCTCTCTGAAGGACAGATGTATGAAGGACAGACCAGCATCCTGGGAGATTGACAAACACCTACTAACCAAATCCCCTGCCTCCTGCTCTGCCCTGAGTGACAAGGTCCTCACCCCTCCTCCAATCCTCTCTCAGAGCACTCTCCTTAACTCTCAGGCCTAGCCCACTGACTCTCCTGTCCCGTTCCCCTGCCCAGGAGAGACCCACTTGTGATCCCACCATCACCTCCCTTTGTACCTGTGATACTTCTGTTCCTGAGCAGTACAGGGCTCCTAGCCTCGCTCCCACCTGCTGGGTCCCTGGTCAAATAGTACTGCCCAAGGAGGCAGCAGCGGCCACTGTGTCTAAAGCAGCACAAGTATATTCACTTGACATCCTTTGCGTAGGAGTCTGGCAGGGAGTTAGAAAGACAAAGAAGCTGGTAGGTTTCTAGCAGTCTTCATGCCTTAGCCTTGTACCCTTTAAAAAGACACATCCCTACTACATCAATTCAGCACACCCACTTTCCCATGACGCACTTCAGCCTCCATCATGAAAACACCATAATGAACACAGGTGTGCTAATGCCACATGGCTATTTCATAAAACCTTCCCACAGATTAGCATGAACACTAAAATTTACCCAAACCCTACCTATTTGAATATTCAGTGAGGGTATTACCCCTAATTGGGGTAGGTGTGATTCTCCTCACAGTGCAGCCCACACTCATGTTTGAATGTACGCTTCCTCTTCATCCCTTTAAATGAATCCTGCTCCCATTCTTGCGCTTTCAGTTTGATTCAGCCTTGAGTTATTCTCTTATGCAAAACAGGAACTTGAAACATGCACTGAGACCATCCAAGCCTACTGAAATCTTGGTCACACCTTAGAGTACGTGGCACAAGCATTGCCCACCGATTTCCTAACTGGTTAAGAGACCACCAAATGGGGAACCTTTTACCAGTAGGTTCGGCCCAATAAGGAGGGGTCAGGGAATGCTCAGAATCCCAGGACCCTTCGTCAGGCCTTCGGTGTCTCTCCCTCTCCCTTCAAGAGCTCCCCATCTCCCGGCTCTCTCCCGGGATCTGCCTTCCCCATCCCTCTTCTTTCCACGTTCACCTGGTCACTTTGCAAATAAAACTTCTCTGTCTGCAACCTGTTCCCAGTTTTCTATTTCTCTATTAAGCTGAGGAAAGAACACACCGAGCTTTTCTGGTAATGCATACAGCTAGGGACGCGTCCCCACAGGACTCTGGTCCTGCTTTTTTCGCTGGTTTCACAGCAATCACCACCACTTGACACTGGAGGAGAGTCACCGCCTCCTCACTGGAAAGTGACGTCCACAAGGACAGCTGCTCTGGGTATTTTGTTCTTCTCTCTATCCAGAGAGTCTTGGACACAATCTTCACTGGATGCATGAGCCAAAATGATCATTTACAAGCATATACCTTTTTATTCCAGCAGCAACATTGAGAAGCAGAGGTTGGAATGTAAAACAGCATAACATATCACGCAACCAGGTAGTTTGTAAATAATGAAAACATGTAAGGGTCACCTGGTTGTGGACCTGACAAATAAAACTTAGAAGAAATATCTAAGAGAGTAGTTGCATTCCTGTGTTCCTTGATGCTAAGCTCATTTTAAGCATGTCTGATAAAAACATATGCAAATTACTAAAAGTGGAGGATTTTTTTTTTTAACTAACAAAAATGTATGGTTGGATAGTGGAAACCCTATTTCCAACTGAAAAAGTGCCTCTTCACGTTATGGAATTTCTAAAGTCATGCATAACAGAATGATACGGCAGACGTGAGCACAGGGTAGACCAGAGCTGTCATAGTAGTGGCACTGCTTCCTTAAAGCAGTACATGGCTATATCTGAAATATGCCAGTTAAATAGTAGGAAGTTCATGACATTCTGAGAAATGTTTTCTATGTTAATGAAATCATAGAAAGTTAAATACAGAACATCATCTACGCTATAGGGGTCAGTGTTGTGGCACAGTAAATTAAACCACCACTTCCAGTGCTGGCTTCTAGTACTGGAGCTGTAGCTCAAGTCTTGGCTGCTGTGTTTTAGAATCAACTTCTTGTTAATGTACTTGCGAAACTAGCAGGAGACAATCCAAGAGGTTCAGCTTCTGGCATCCCTGTGGGATCCCAGGGCTCCTGACTCTTGGGTTTAGCTTGGCCTGGACCTCACGTGGGGAACAGATGGAAGAAGCTGCTTATCCTCTTTCTCCCTCCTTCTCCCCCTTTTGCTCTCCATTACTCTACCTTTCAAAGTAATCAATCATTAAAAAGAAAAATCATTCCATTTGTTATCTCTTCCTTAAAATAATTTTCAATACATCAGAATAGAAGGGCCTGGTGATCTGAGAGCTTTGTCTGCCTGTCCCCCTCTGAGTGTCCAGAGACAAGACTGACCACATATATGAGCACAGTGAATGGCATCCCACGTTAAAGGTATCTGTGCCTCTTCATTCCCACACTTCACTTCACAAACATGATTGCAAAACCATAGGTCTCTGAGAGCTGCTTAACAAACCAGCGAACTAACCTGCAAATTAACACTGCTAACTGCCTCATTTTAAAGATGAAAAAGACATTCAGAATCATATCAAAATGGTAAAAGCTCTCTACTCACTTCTTAACTCTTTAGGAATTTACATGCTAATTATGTGAGGTGTAAAGTCCCCAAGTCTTAATCTATCTTAAACCGCCAGTAATGGTATTAGATCCCAGGATGAAGCAGAGCAGTGAGTGTCTAAATGAATGTAGAATAACTGTGGAATGAAGAGGGGGGTCATGAACCCAAGGGTCATAAAGATACACGACTACTCATCCCTTGTCATTCCCGTGGGTGTTGTGAGTCAGCCAAGAACATGTAAGTATCAAGGTGCTGGCCTCCCACCCTCTCAGTGACCTGACAGCCACAGAAGGAACAATCGTGGCAACCCCCACGCACTGCCAGAGCTACCCAGCACAAAACTGCAGGCCTGCAAGGCATCACAACTCATAAACACCAGTGGAACCCCATCCTATTAAAACAAATTCTGCACAACTTTAAAAGTCTTTAAACATCGACTCCAATGATCCTCATTTGATATTTCTGCAATTTCATCATGATATAATATTCATTCATCTTAGTAAAGAATTCATAAGTTACTTCTTACCTGACTGAAAACAAGTGAAATACCCCAAGATTTTGCCCTAAAATACAGATAAAAGACATTAAATATATAAAATACTTTGGTCAAAATAAAGCTAAATCATGAAAATGACATACTTTGCAAAGTGTCTATTGGCTCCATTTTCTCCATATTTTCCTATTTTCATACAATCTCTCAAAGGAATCTGGGTAAAATAAAAGCAAGTATTATAAAAATACACAGAATTCAAATACATACAAAATTGGAAATGTTTCTGTTAAGATTTAAGATGTTTTTACCTTAATGATGGGCTTGGATACTGCATCTGGTTCAAAAATCACTGATTTTGAACATATCTTTAAGGAACCTCTGATTTTCCTAGGGGGAGAAGTACAGTGCTTATTTAATGAACTTACCTTAAATCACAATACATTAGTGCTTTGACTAATCAAAGCACTAATTAGTGATAAACAACATAGTAAAGATAATAAAAATGATACACAAAAAATAATAAACAACATAATTAAAGATAAGGATTTAAAACACTGGGAAAACAACAAAACAATGACTCTTACAAGGAAACAAAAAGACCAAAACACCAGAGAGGCTAACACATGCTTCATTTGTCCTCTGTCTAATGCATTCAGTTGGTTTTTAGTACTTTATATCTGAAAAAAACAGAACAAACAACAACAACAAAAACCACACACAAAAACTATCCAGATGCAAACACTAAAAGCATAAAAATGATTAGGTGAAGAATATGAATTTTGCAAATGAAATGCTCCTAGTAGAGATATGAAACAATAAAGACAACAGGAAAAAAAAAACTTGTCCCATGATGATAAGTCATTTAAGAATACGTTAATACCGAATAAATATGTTATAGATTTCACCACTGCCATCCTTTTTTTGGGACTTTTATGCAAGGTCAGTAAATTTTAGAAGAAAATCTACCTAAGCATTTTTCTCATTTTAATATTTTTTTAAAATGATTTATTTTATTTTTATTGGAAAGGCGGATATACAGAGAGGAGAGACAAAGAGGAAGATCTTCCGTCTGATGATTCACTCCCCAAGTGAGCACAACAGCCAATGGTATGCCAGTCCGAGCCAGGAGCCAGGAACTTCTTCCAGGTATCCCACACGGGTGCAGGGTCCCAAGGCTTTGGGCCATCCTCGACTGCTTTCCCAGGCCACAAGCAGGGAGCTAGATGGGAAGTGGAGCTGCTGGGATTAGAACTGGCGCCCCTATGGGATCCTGGCACGTTCAAGGCGAGGACTTGAGCCTCTAGGCCACAGTCGCCGGGCCCTTAATATGATTCTAAGATTTTCTTTTTTAATTGGAAAGTCAGACATACAGATAGAAGTAGAAATAGAGAGGAAGATCTTCCATCTGGTGATTCACCCCCCAAGTGTTTGCAACTGCCAGATCTGAGGTGATCCGAAGCTAGAGCCAGGAGCTCGCAGGTCTCCCACGTGGGTTCAGGGTCTCAAGGTTTGGGCCGTCCTCAACTGCTTTCCCAGGCCACAAGCAGGGAGCTGGATGGGAACTGGGGCAGCTGGATTAGAACCATTACTCATATGGCATCCTGGCATGTTCCACGCGAGAACTTTAGCCATTCTGTTACCATGTCAGGCCGCAACCTAAAACATTTTAGAGGCAACTGCTTGTTTTGGCCAATTCTCAAGCTATTATAAAAAAAAAAACAATAATAAAGTGAAAGAAGAGAACTATTACAGATTTGTTCTATGAAATCAGAATTGCTGTGATTCCAAAACTAGATGAGAATAAAACAACTTGCACACCCCCATAATAACAAAAACACTGTAAACCAATGTGATCACAAATACGGACATTTTCAAACATTTTCAAAACACTACTACTAAATCTAATCCAAGAACACTTCAAAAAGATCGTTCACTGTGACTATGTGAGATTTAGCCCAAGGATACAGGCATGGTTGGGCATACAAAAACCCACAAACATAATACATTACATCACAGAATGAAAGATAAAAGTTACATTATCACTTTAACAGATGCCAAAAAATTTTGGTAAAATTCAACTTGGATCTGCATCAAAGAATTGTAAAACCTAATATACTTTTAAGACTCTAAGCTACTCAGAAAAGGGGTGGGAGAGCAGAGAAAGCTTTCATCTCCTTAGAAGGTGTGAGGAACACGTGAAGTATAACCTATCAGGAACATAACTAACTCATAGACAACAGACTCAAATCAATATTAGCCAATAGTAAAACTACAAAGACATATAGGGGGAATCAAGAGCGATCCTGACAACCTCTTAACAGGAGGTCATATGCACAGAGCAGGGGGATCCCAGAGTGGAGCAGGTGGACAGGAGGAGGCTTGTATCCCAACCCTGGAGAATCCAGTTTCATCACCAAGGACTATCAGTACGGACACCAAGGACTACATCGCAACAGCCAAGAACATGGGGAATTGGAGTGCCTTTGGAGGCCGAGAACTCTGAGGTCATCCACCCCCCTTTGGATCTACCACATGGGATGGAAGAAGCCCAAATCCTTCCATGCAGGATCCAAGGTCATCAGAACAATAGCCAGGAACCCAGAGCGGTCCACAGAAACAGAACAGTAAACTTCTTTAGGGACTAGGGAGAGCTTTCTCTGGTCCTTATTTAGTTCCAACTTTGGATCCCCAACCTCTCTTGCAATGACCATCAGGGTCACTCCGGAGGCCCACCCCCTACAAAAAGAATTAGAATAGATAGACAGAGAACAACAAGGAAAGCTTAGAATCAGACAGGAAACGGTCAGCGTGGATGCACATATACCTTACTGGGTAGAACACAAAGATCAGTTACTCCTCACTAAGGTATTGAAGATTTCCCTGCACACTCCTTCTAAAACTGTTCTGTACCTCAACTGTTGACATATGCCTTGTTAGATTTATAAGCCAGTTTAGCCAAGTTCAGCAAAATTATGCTTCAACACTATAAACTGCTAAATACTAAAATGAAAATAGACATGAGACAGCTGAATAGTACCCTATAGCCATTTTAAGCTGTATAGCTGGTTCTGTGTATAAACTAAAATTGAAATGTCAATGAAGTAGTCACAGGATGTGGTTAAGAACTTGCATTTTTTAACATATTGCTCACTCAATACCATGTCAATTAACTCCATAGTGTTGTTAATTGCTGTTGATGTTGTGCTGGGGCTTTGAATTGATCTGGATGATACTCTGCCAACTCTACATTCAGACCGGAGATGGTCTCCCCAAGAAACAGTTGAATGTATTTGGACAATAAGATGCTGGACTTTATGCTTGGTATATGCTTGCAATGAAAGAATCAAGACTGAATTTGAACTGTAATATTGCAACAAGGTGGAGGAATCCACCATGGGGGTACAGGTTGAGGGGATTCCAGAGCCTATGAAATTGTGTCACAAAATGCAACGTAATTAATAACAATAATAAAAAAAAAAACATCAAAATCACAAAAATGGGTTTAAGTTTGCTACCTTAGACTTGTGTTTTAATAACAAATTTATTTACTAGTAAGCAAGACATTATGATGATACAGGACAGAAAATGTGGGAAAAACAGCAAAAGGCGTGGAATCAAGAAAAAACATTTTTTTTGAGCAAACTTCCAGACATGAAAATGCAAAATACTACTTTCAGGGAACAGTAATTGTCTAGTTTGATTTGATGGTGTGAGAGGAGTTAGACTGGGTAGTAGGCAGTTAGGGTACTCTTGGTCCCAAAGTCATTTTTTATATAAAAGTGAATTTCCCTACCATGTCAGATTCACCAGAGCATGTTTCATCCAAGGGACAAGGGTACTATTAGCATATCAATTCCCCACCTGAAGCACCAGCCATTACCTCCAGCCATTGTGTGGGAGGGCCTCAGGTCCTTATCATTGAAAGGAGGGCAGGAGGAAGTAATACACATATGCCTATGACCTGGAATGTCCTATGCCTGGCACCTCTCTGGTCTTTTGCCTGAAAGCCAGATACCTGGGGACAGGGAATTCCTTTGTCCTTGGAAAACTCCCTTCTGAAATAAAGCTTTAAAAAGATCCCAATACCCCCATGCACAGGTCCTTCCTATCTCAGAGCCCCCTCCCGTCGCTAGGACAGGAGCCTCTCTTCTCAACTTTTCTAATAAATCTTGCTTTAAAACTAAACTGTGGGGCCGGTGGCATGGCCTAGCGGCTAAAGTCCTCACCTTGAATGCACAGGGATCCCATATGGGTGCCAGTTCTAATCCCAGCAGCTCCACTTCCCATCCAGTTCCCTGCTTGTGGCCTGGGAAAGCAGTCAGGGTCAGCCCAAAGCTTTGGGACCCTGTACCCATGTGGTATACCCGGAAGAAGTTCCTGGCTACTGGCTCGGAACGGCATACCATTGGCCGCAGTGCTCACTTGGGGAGTGAATCATCGACGGAAGATCTTCCTCTTTTCCTCTCCTCCTCTCTATATATCTGACTTTCCAATAAATAAATAAATCTTTAAAAAAAACAACAACAAATTAAACTGTGTCCGCATGAGAATGCTTCTTTCCTGCGAGACAAGAATTGAGGTTGCTGCCGTACTCAGGGTCGAAAACCCTACAACAATGGTAAACAAACAACTTATGTCATAAGCTATGAAACAACAAGGCCCATGGGGATGGTCACTCGGCACAGCACCTAAGACTTCTCGGACACCTATGTCCCATGCTGGCATGCCCACGTGTAAGGCCCTGCTCCAGTCTTGACTTCAGTTTGCTCTTTCTGTTCACTCTACATGGCTGCAGGGCATGGCTCAAGTAGAGGCATTCTTGCCAGAGTCATGGGGGACCCACACTGAGTTCCCTAGTCCTGGTTTCCGTCTAGCCCAGCTCCAGCTCTAGTGAGTATCTGGGAAGTCAACCAGCAGATATAAGATCTCTTTCCCTGACTCTGAAATATATAAAATTCATTAAAATTATTTTTAACAAGTCATTTTTATTTTGGTTTATGTTTTTAAATGTAGTAGCATGTTTTTGATCCCTTAAGGATAAAACATGAAGAACACTAAAAAATAAGTTCAAATAATATCAAAGCATTTTCCAAGTTGCAGCCTATTGTTGGGTAACCTCCCTACAGGAAATTATTAGTGGGCAGATCATAGCTGGAACAAATTCCATCCTAACAAATTTCAAGTAGGAATCTTAGACAAATAAATTTCTTTACATACTTCTGCACACAGCTTTTCAAAGATAAGATCAGCATCTGGCAGCGTGGTCTAGCAGCTAAAATTTTTGTCTTGAACGCACTGGGATCCCATATGGGCGCCAGTTCTAATCCCGGCAGCTCCACTTCCCATCCAGCTCCCTGCTTGTGGCCTGGGAAAGCCACTGAGGACGACCCGAAGCCTTGGGACCGTGCAACCTGTATGGAAGACCTGGAGTAAGTTCCTGGCTCCTGGCTCCAGATTGGCACAGCACCAGCCTTTGCATTCACTTGGGGAGTGAATCATCAGACAGAAGACCTTCCTCTCTGTGTCTCCTCCTCTCTGCATATCTGACTTGGTAATAAAAAAATCAATACATCTTTTAAAAAAAAAGATAAGATTAGATACATGGAACATGTGTTTACAGTGTGTTAAGCAATAATTATGAAAATAAAGAAAAATCAGGCTTGTTTCTACTTCAGACTGCAACATTCATTTAGAGAGTGCTGATTTTACATATCTTACGGTCTGTGATCAGTACCTTCTGACAGACACAAAAATCCAGGGCATGTCAAGCAGGGGAACTGCAGCCACTCCTCTGTTAAGCTGTGCCTACTGCTGGTGAGCATAAGAATTAGGGCTGGGCAGGGTGATGGAACTATAACTCCTTATGAAGGACTATAGTATTGTAACAATATGGGGAAATCAGCCAGAGGGGGTTGGAATTTTGTCAGGGGAAATCCTAGACTCTATGAAATTGTACCATAAAAAAAAAAATCAGGTTTGCTAATGAGGCAGGTTGGACAAGGCAGTGGCACCTTTCAACATGTGAGGACCGGGTTTGGGGGAGGGGCAGAGTGAGTTAAGTCATAGCAACTGTGGGTGTGCACAAGAGCTGGATGGATGAGGGGTGAGCCAAGCTAGGTAGCAACAGAGGCTGGTACATGCAAAAGTCAGGGCTGGAGGTGGATCTGGCGGGGGTTGAGGAGGTTCATCCTGACTAGGCCATGGTACCTGCCAGTATACGTCAGGACTGGGTCTATGGCGGGCTGGCTAGGCCAGGCCACAGCACCCATCGGTTTCATGAGATAAGGGGCTGATGGAAGAACTGACCAGGCAGCTGCTCCCACCAGTATGCGCATTGGCTGATACAGATGACAGATCATACCTGACCCTGCATTGGCTGGTACACAAAAGACTTAAGTCTGAGGTCATCCCAGGAAAGGTTTCTTGGTGGACTCCCTGATTAGACTGCTGGATTCAGACACCAATTACAGGGAAAAATCACGAGATGTGTGGTCTGATCTTGGCGTGCACGTATTACCACTAGACCTCCTTAGTTGCTGATGCCTGTGCAGAGGACAGACAGTATGCCCAGATGCATATAGGGGACAGAACATGACAGCCAGCTCATCTAAGCCAGCAAAGGACATTGAGCATCTTATCAGAGGACGGAAAGCAGAACAGGTTGAACAACTCTCCTGGCTAAGTTTTGCAGCAAGTGTCTGGGGCTGTATATGCACTAAGGCAGACTTTGTCAACAAATTAACTTTGGAAAGATTTTCTCATCCTTGGAGCACTGAAGCCAATGACATCATGGAGCTATGAAAACTATTCAAGTAATACCCTGGGAACACTCTTCCCAACACTGAGGTCTCTAAGGCATCAAATGACCGTCCCACATCCATGGTTGACAGCAAGGAGCAACCTCCTCCCCCTTTCCCCGTGGACACAGGAGAACCAAAATCATGAAACCAGCTTCCTCCACACCGGGATGTACAATAATTAGAGGTCCACATGGGCATGCATCCCTCTCAATTATGTAAACAACACTAAAAACAAAACTAAAATTTAAAAAAAAATAAAGATATCCACAGCCCAAAACGCTTAAGAAAAAAAAAAGCTCTGAAAAATATCTGGCATCCTGACTCAAATTTCTAAATCCACTCTTCTCGTTACTTTCCCCATAACAAAGAAGGCGGAAATTCCTATATGATCATACATTTGATTTTTAAAATGCCAGACATCAGAAACACTTGTTAGTTCATGAAACAACCCAACTTTTTCTTACCTTTCATCATGGCTGCCTTTGTGTTGAATATGATTAGCTGTGTGCTGTTCAAAATAGTACTCCTCCAAGTTGAGCAGCAGCAAGGAAAATCTACAATTAGGGAGAGAAAACCACTTTGGTTTACACTCAACTTTCAGCATGCATATGAAAGCAGCGCATTTAACATGATTCTTGCTTTTCCTTAAGTGACCTCCACTTTAGAAGTTTTATTTCATGCCAGGCACTCCTCTCCACCTATTCAGTATGAGGAAAAGATGCAAACAGGCCTGCTATGTGTGTTGAATCACTGCTGTGCCGAACATAAAATCACCCATCAGGTGGATGTACTTAATTCTTTACAGAAATTCCAAACTTCATGAAATTAAGATTATTGCTGCCTGCTCTAGTGCCACGCCACATAGCTGTTTGAGTTTATCTTAATTTGGAGACAGATCTTCAGTTATTCAACCATGAAATTCAACTAGTCCTCTCTGACAGCGGGTGTTACACATAAGTAAAATAAATCAATTTACTTGAGTAGAATTAAAATATACTTTTTTTCATTTTTAACTGTTTTAAATCTTTAAGAAATGAAACAATAAGAAGCATACATTAATCTAGCTCTGTGGTCACAGAAACAATTATAGGGCAAAGAAGTGAAAACAAGTGCTTTATCTATTTCATGTTAAGGTCCAGAAAACCACAACACCACATAAAGTTAAGAGGAAATGCTTTCTTCATTAAAAGTGAGGCACTTGAGATGTGTCCTGCTGTTCCGATGTGACATACAAACAGATTAAATAAGGTAGTTGACACACGCGCTTCTTTCACTTCCTCTTGAAACAGCACCAAAACGTGAATAAACGCACTTTTTAAATGGTATAGCCACGGGTGGCTGAAATCCTGTTGGTGGAGAACATCAAAGCAGACAGGAGGCATGTGCAAATCTCTAAGACAAAAAACAGACCAGAGGAATCACCAGTGCTCACAGAAAAGGGCTCATGCAAAAAAAACAAACTCTCACCAAGGACTTCATGAGCATTCAGAAACTGTAGGTCAGGTGCCAAGCGCGCAGGCAGGCAGCACTGGGGGACAGGTTAAAATATGACTGGGGTGATGGCTCCAGTTTCTGCCCCTGATAAATTATCCCTAGCTCATGGCAGCGCATGGCTTTTCTATATAAGAACTGAACATGCAGTTCCAAACTAGACATGAGGCAGACAGCGGGGGAGTGATATGAAATGGGGGCAATCAAGCAAAAATTTAAAAATAACTTTGACTTTGGGACTAGGGAGAGGAGCTTTCTCTGGTCCTTACTTAGTTCCAACTTTGGATCCCCAACCTCTCTTGCAATGACCATCAGGGTCACTCCGGAGGCCCACCCCCCAAAACAACAACAACAACAATTAGAATAGATAGACAGAGAACAACAAGGAAAGCTTAGAACCAGGAGGAAAAGTTTAGTGTGGACTCACACATACCTTACTAGGTGGGACACAAAGATTAGTTGCTCCTCACTAAGGTATTGAAGATTTCTCTGCACACCCCTCCTAAAACTGTTCTGTGCCTCAACTGTTGACATATGGCTTGTTAGATTTATAAGCCAGTTTAGACTATCCTAAAATCTGCCAAGTTCAGCAAAATTATGCTTCAACACTATAAACTGCTAAATACTAAAATGAAAATGGACATGAGACAGCTGAATAGTACCCTATAACCATTTTAAGCTGTATAGCTTGTTCTGTGTATAAACTAAAATTGAAATGTCAAGAAAGTAGTCACAGGATGTGGTTAAGAACTTGTATTTTTTAACATATTGGTCACTCAATACCATGTCAATTAACTCCATAGTGTTGTTAATTGCTGTTGATGTTGTGCTGGGGCTTTGAATTGATCTGGATGATACTCTGCCAGCTCTGTCTTCAGACCGGAGATGGTCTCCCCAAGAAACAGTTGAATGTATCTGGACAATAAGATGCTGGACCCTATACTTGGTATATGCTTGCAATGAAAGAATCATGACTGAACTTGAACTGTAATATTGCAACAAGGTGGAGGAATCCACCATGGGGGGAAAGGTTCGGGGAATCCCAGAGCCTATGAAACTGTGTCACATAATGCAATGTAATTAATATAAATAAATAAATAAATGAATGAATGAATGAATGAAAAAATAATTTTAAAAAAAGTCAAATAAAAATAACTGTTGAATACAGGAACACCAGCAGGAAGACAGAATACCACTCCAGCTAGGAGTCTGGTAAATTAGTTTAAAGAGGAGGCATCAATAACTCCTGAGAAAACACCTGTAGAAAGGGGCGTCTCCAAAAGCCTGGTCACTACACCTTTATCCCACAACAAAGCCCCACAGGGAAAACCCGCTCCCAGTGACAGAATTACATGCCTCACAGTCGAGTATGACTAGACACCCAAGACTGCCAGCCTGGGATGCAAAACAACCAAACCAAGATGAGCAGGAAATCAACAGAAAGGCCTGGAGACAATGCAAACAACAAAGTTCAAAAGACTATAATTAACATCCTTACATAGAAGAAATTACACTCATGACACAAAAGATTGCTCATTTTAAAAATGTGAACAGAAAGAAAAGCGACTCATAAGATTTTAAATAATGATAGCAAGAACCAGTTCTACCATCCTACTAGGTAACTTTTATTGACTTGTCCTCCATAGTTTAAATCTATGAACAAGAATGAGTCATGAGCTAATAATAAGTCAGAGTACAACAATAAATGCTCACTATCAATACATAATACAGACGTCAATATGATTAAGGTATAGGATTGCAAGCAAGAGTCCTTCCGCGACTCCGATGATTTCCAGGAAGGCAGGGATCAGGGATGCCTTCATTAATCACCTCATCCCTTATTTTTAGCGTATATGGCTTACTTCATATCTTGATAACTGGAAACACTTTGCTTGGGCTGGAAATTATACAACTCTCCTTTCTCTCTCCTAATCTTTCCTCCCGTCTCCTTGGAGAGATAGGAAAAACAAGAAAATAAGCTTTTAAAGAACCATGGCAAGCCAGCATAGTGGTGCAGCGTGTTGAACCTCGGTCATGTGATGCTGGCATTTCATATGCACTGATGCCAGTCCAAGCTGTTTCACTTCTAATCCAGCTGCCTGCTAATCAGTTCCAGGCACCTGGCTTCAACCTTGCCCAGCCCTGGCTGGTGGCCATTTGGGAATAAACCAGAAGACAGAAAATTCTCATTCTCTTTCTCTGCCTTCCCTCTCTCCACCACCCCCGCCCCCATCTTGTACCTTTCGAAGAAAAAAAAATCCTAAAAGACCATCGCATAATTATATTACTATGAAGCAAACAGTATTCAGAGACAATTAGCTCTTCCACATGATTATTAGGATGTAATCAAATCAGTTATTTTACAACTAAAGTCACAATTTTCATAAGCATAATTACAGTCTCAGTTTTTCAACATGCACATTTTTAACGAAATGCAAAATTACACTAAAAAACTAACTACATTTTATCATCTAAAGTTAAAACCTGTCTGAATCTTGGGGCCAGTGCAGTACTGTTGCATGTCAATCCTCTGCCTGTGGTGCCAGCATTCCATATGGGCACTGGTTCATGTCTCAGCTGCTCTACTTTTCTTAATATTTATTTATTTTTATTGCAAAGTTAGATATGCAGAGAGGAGGAGGAGACACAGAGAAGAAGATTTTTCATCCACTGATTGACTCCCCAAGTAGACACAATGTCTAGAGCTGAGTTGATCTGAAGTCAGGAGCCCGCAGCCTCTTCTGGGTCTCCCATGTAGGTACAGGATCCCAAGGCTTTGGGCCGTCCTCGACTGCTTTTCCAGGCCACAAGCAGGGAGCTAGATGCAAAGCGGGACTGCTGGGACATGAACTAGAGCCCTCATGGGATCCTGGAACATGCAAGGTGAGAACTTTAGCCACTAGTACTGTACTAGACCAAAATTACTGGGTTTTTAAGATTTATTTTTATTAGAAAGGCAGATATACAGAGAAGGAGACACAGAGAGAAAGAGTGTCTGTCTACTGGTTCACTCCCCAAGTGGCCACAGCAGCCAAAGCTAAGCTGATCCAAACCCAGGAGCCAGGAGTCTCTCCCAGGACTCCCAAGGCTTTGGGCATTCTTCCACTGCTCTCCCAGCCCACAACCAGGGAGTTGGATGGGAAGTGGAGTCAACAGGACATGAATCGGTGCCCATATGGGATCCAGACACATGCAATGCGAGTGCTTTAGTCACGATACCAGGCCTCATGTCGATGAATTGTAAAGCATACTATTTAAACCCAAGAAACAACATAAACTATCTCCACTCAGCTCTTATGGAATAACCACATTCATGGCCACTTGAAATCATTCAACACCCTGTTGATCAGTATTGACAGGGGATTAAGAAGGTTTTGCTACTCATTTCTCTGGATTGGAGATATAAAACAGGCTGCAGTGTCTTGAGTTTGACACCAGCTCAAGGGCAGAGAATTCTGGGACCCCCAGGTGAAACACGTGGAGGCACAGAAAGGCCGCTCGTGTTGCGATCTCTGCTCTGAATTCCCCAACAGCATCCGTAGATCAAGCTGAAGTACACTTCTTCATTAAAGGATTAGGTTAAACAACCTGGACACATTTACAAGTGTGTAAAAATTATTTGTGAAATAGGCAATACATTTAAGTAAACTGTTGGACTAGATTAAGACCGCAGTACTGTGACCACCACCCTGCCCTGCAACCACTGGAAGCATCTTCTCGGCAACACACTGGGCAGCAGTGTGACGGCTCCAGGAGTTAAACGGATGGAGGCGGTGATCATTTTCCTTACTGTCGTACAGCCAAAGACAGGCTGACAAGAGAAAAGTACAACAAGTTTACGTGACACAGGAGGCTTCAGCCATAAAGACGACACAGGGAACAGCACCCCCTTTTTAAAACTTTTTTTAAAAGATTTATTTATTTTTATTTGAAAGGCATGTTTACTGAGGAGAGCCAGAGAGAAAGATCTCTGTCCTCTGGTTCACTCCCCAAGTGACCACAATGGCCAGAGCTAAGCCAATCCAAAGCAAGGAGCCTGAGGCTTGTTCCATGTCTCCTATGC